GGGGAGGCCAGATGAGCTGTTGTTTGGTGCTCCCGATTGGATCTTCCAATTCAAAGGCGAAGATGGGCTGTGACGCTGGGGCGAGGCGTACGCAGAAGAAGGCATCCTTGAGATCTAGGCAAGTGTAAACTTTAGTCCTCGGCGGGAGGAGGCTAAGCAAGGTATAGGGGTTTGGAACAGTGGGGTGTAAAGTCACAGTAGCCTGGTTGACTAGCCTGAGATCTTATACAGGCCTATAGTCCTGTCCTCCTTCCTTTTTGACTGGCAGGATTGGCGTATTCCAAGCTGACTGGCACTCTGCTAGAATGCCCGCTTGTTTCAATCTATTGATGTGGGGCAGTATGCCGGCCCAGGCCTCTGTCGGTAGTGGGTACTGGCGCTCTCTATCCGGGATGGGGCCTGGTTTGAGCTCTATTATCACTGGGGCGTGATGTTTAGCCAGCCTGGGGGGAGCGGGGGTTGTCTTCCGCCCAGACCTCAGGGAATAATTGAGTTAGCTCTCTCTCATGCTCTTCCGGCCCACCCGGTTCTTCCTTCAGAGGCTCATGCAACCTCCAGTCATCTTGGAGATGAGAGAGAGAGCAAATAAGTCATAGTGCCCATCCGGAAGGTGGGCCTCTTCTCAGGGGAGACAGTCACTTGTGCTCCTAGTTTGGAGAACAAGTCTCTTCCCTACAGGGGTACTGGGCACTCAGGAATGTAGAGGAATTCATGAATCACTTGGTGACCCTCCATCTGACATTTTCTGGGCTGGCAAAACGATTTAATCATCTCTTCTCTCGATACCCCAGTTACAGCGGTAGTCTTTTTGGACAGTGGGGCCACAGGTTTTGTTACTACCAATAGTTCTGCTCCTGTATCCAGCATGAAGTGAATGTTTTGGTCCCCCACTTTTAAGGTTACCATGGGCTCTCGGGGACCTGACATCTCTGAGCCCTGGCAGCCCTAGTTAATTTCCAAGTCAGCAAGCCCCACAACTGCGGGAGCTTCCTCTTCCTTCCTTGCCTTAGGGCATTCATTCTTCCAGTGGCCAAAACCTCGGCACTGGGCACACTGGTTTGGCTGTAACGGGACCGACTGAAGGACTGTCCTGTCCCTGGGGTAGATGAGGTTTTCCAGAGGGACCGAGATAAGACTTTCCCAGAGCAGCAGCTAGCGCTGTCTCTTGTCTGTTCTCTTTTCTTCCCTGTGGCTCTCTGGCAGAGGGCAGTCTCTGCTTAATTCCAACATCTCCCTCCCCTTCTTGTCAGTACTCACCGGGAGAGGAGGATATAGCTTGGGCAGTTCAGCTGGAGCCGGATCCTGGAAGTGTTGGCCAGAGGCTTCTGTCACCGGGATCGAGCCTGCCAAAACGGCGGCTCTAGGGCCTCCGGGAGAGCTGGCGGAGGAGCAGCGGCTGCTGCAGGAACTTCACCTGGCCCTGGATCGGGCATTAAGGCGGCCTCCGGTCCTGGTGAGGCCCTGGGAGGCAGGCGCGTCATTATCCAGTATGGGGGAGGGGTCAGGTCACCCCCGTCCAAATCCTGTAGAACTTCCTTTTTTATCATCAGTCAATTTTTGTGCCATTAATATTTTTCCCTTTCCCTTCTGGATACAGAACCTTGTCCAAGTAGGAGGGTCTTGAGCTAACCCTAGCCATGAGTCAATAGACGGGTATTGATGCAGGTGTCCTGGCTCTCCTGTGACTGCTGTGTAGACGCTTCCACTAGTTTTGAGTTCACGGTGTTCTCTGGTGCCATCCTACTCCCATAGGGGCCATTCGACCACAGAGTATGTGGAGGCGGTTAGGCTTCATCTTCACCCCATAGTCTCCTCCAAATCCCTTCTTTAAAATTTGAATCATGCACTCCAATACAGCTGCCTTAGATTCACTTCCCCCCATCTTGCTTACCTTCTCGGACCTTCTTCTACTTTTCCTTTTCATTCTGTCTACGAAGTTCTCAGTACCCTATGTACTTCTGATATTTCCACTCAATGACACTTAAATTGCCATTCTGCTCCTTCCTAAGTGGGGTGAGAAGAGCCTTACCTGCCAGATCCCAGAGGGAGAAGGGGGATTGGTGTGTCTTCACCTGCTGGTCAGCACAGCCGAACCAGAACACCACATGGTCCAAGACTGTTTCTCCCTTAAAGTCCGTTCTGCTCTGGTGGGCTTGATCAGGTGCGGATGAAAACACAGATGGGTTAAATATCCCATGTCCCAGGCCATCTCTGGAAAAGCCAATTCATACTCACTTCTGTATCCCCCTCCTTTTAGCCTGACAATTCTGAGGGGGTCAAGAATTTCACAGCAGACGGGACACGTCCTGGGGGAGGGCAGAATACGAGCATACAAGGACCCGTTTCCTATCCTAAAAATCCCCTGGCAATCGCTGGTAATAATTTTCCCCGAGATGGCGTGGACACACCTCCTAAATGACCTTCACAAATTTCCTTCCTGAGCCCTAGCGCGCTCGTCGACCTGTGTACCAAGCAATCGCCGCCTGCCTATTCCAGGCTCCTGTGGGTCCCCGCCCCTTCTAGTCCCTCCCAGGGGGGTGATCAGGCCCCCTCTTCCACCCTGCCGGGTGGGTTCCTCCTCACCTGAGCGCTCCGTTCCCTTGCTGCCGTCCACTACCTGCTGACGTGAAAGGTCCGGGTGTTGAGAAGCAGAATACTTCCAGAAGGGTGAGGCACCTTCCACCCTCTAGAAGATTCAAGCCACAAGGCCCCGGAGTAGTCCCAAATGGGACTTGTCTCCTCAAAGTGAGGAGTTTCCCGGCCAATGCACCAAATGTTGTAGCCACGCGTTCCGGGAAACAAACTCACTCAGAAGGACAGTGCAGATAGTGGAGTGCAGTTTATTACACTGGTGGGCCCAAGGCAGAGTCTCCTCTTAGCCAAGGACCCCGACCAGCATTTGTGAAAATCTTTTATACCCATGTGTACATGTCCAAACCCACCACCCCAAATTCCTTGAGACTTACATAAACTAAGGAAGGGTAAATACAATCCCAATAATCCCATCACTCATGTGCCATGTGCTCAGACTGTTAAACAATTAGCCAATAATCAATAAGCATGAGGTTACACTCCAACAGGTACGGAAAAACTTATGGCCTGTCTGGAGGAAGGGGTGATTAGTGTATGTGTTCTCTTAGGCAATGAGTAACCTGGATACGATCTTCAAGATTCCCCTGTCCGGAGGGGGTCTTATCCTTCTGTCGTTGTTCCCATAGACACTAAACACAGAGTGCAGAGTCCACTGGAGAGGCGGCCGAGCGTGGTCCGCATGGACAGGCCTGAGATGGGGTCCAGGCCCTGTGAAGTCCTTCTCAAACATGGCTGACCTGTACCTTTTTTAGGGGACCCTTGAAGGGCCTGCCAGCTTCCCCTCTACCCCCTCACAGCGCCCGCCCGGCCAGGCTTGCTGACTGTGGTCAAGGGACCCAAGCCACACCTTCCATGCGCCGGGTCCTGTTCTGGGTGTGACCATGTGACCTGAGACCCCCAAAGGACCTAGTTCTCTAGGGCCTGACAGTTTCCTCCAGGCAGATTGTCCGGAGCCAGCATCACACCATGAAGCCCACAAATCCCACCCCACCCCATCCCAGGTGACTGAAAAAAAATTCTGCCAGCTGAGGGCCAGGCTTGGCCTGGCTTAACACACCTAGGGGCAGTGGGTTAGAGGGACGATGGGGGAAGGGACACCGACGGGCTCCGGAGAGGCACGAAGGGAAGAGGACCACGTGGCCCTTCCAACTTGAATCTAAACACCGCATTCTGGATTCTGAAGATTCTAAAACCACCACTGTGGGAATTTTGCAGGGGAAGGAAAAGGAGAAGTCAACACTCCTTGCCTTCTAAATGATCAGCCCGACTTGTAGGAAGGGGATAAACACACAGAGAATTACTCCTGTCTCGGCAAGGACTTGGCAAGTCGTTATTAAAACAAAACAAAACAAAACAACTAACAGCAGCAAAGAGTTTAAACAATACTGGAGGGAAACAAAGAGAAACAAATGCTTAAGCTGCAACCAAGCCATTCCCAGTGCTATAAATGTCACGTGGTTAGTTGTGTCCAATTCTTTGTGACCCCATAGACTGTAGCCCGCCAGGCTCCTCTGTCCATGGCGATTCTCCAGGCAAGAATACTGGGGTGGGACGCCGTGACCTCCTCCAGGGGATAAATGCCGTTAGGGTAAATAAACAGCCACCTCCCTGGTGATGGACCGGGAGTGCTGAGTGCTGGCATGGCAAGAGGGTATGTTCAGAGCTTCAAATGAACAGGACCGAACTTTACCTGGCATGAAATTCATGAAATTTCACATTCAATGCTCGCTAGCTACAATATCAATTTATAAAGGAAACTTAAAAGTCAAATCCTCAACTCTAAAATGCAGGTTTCTGTAGAATAAAAATAGTCTGATTCAGTCAATAAAAATGAAACACAAAACCTAACAAAAATAGACATTTATTAACAAGTTATAAAATTCAAAGTCCTCTCTTTCAAACGGCATTTTTAAAAATATAAGCTGTCTTTTCCAAGCAGAAGTCAAAATAATTTTATACTTTAAGAATTTAGTACAATGACCTTTCATTTAGTAAAATAACTTTAACACAATACTGGAAGGGTTTATTTATTCAAAAAGTTACACAAAGCTTTGCTGTGACTTCTTATGAAAAGGAAACTTGAAACATCTCTCATGCTCCTGTGTCTCGTATACTTTTAGACATTTCAACTTTAGCGTTACCTCAATTTGAGGTATTTCCTTGAGGAACAATGAGCACCTCAGAGGAAGGGTCTTCCCTGACTGGGTCTGTTGGCCCTGGGGCCGCCCAGACCCACTGTAACCCTGACCTCCCTGCATACACGGTCCCTTGAGCTTATTATGTATCAGTCACCTAAATGAAGCCAACATTTCCCGACACAACAGTGGGTCGACATGCACAGGCCTTCCGGGGAAACCAGACTCAACCCAACTCCTGCAACCTGGAGCCGGAGGTGCCGGCCGCAGGGGTCAGGTGTCAGGGACCGTGGCCGCGATGTCCCTGCAGAGCCGGACGATGGCCTCCTCGTCACCCCCTCCCGACTCCTCCGCGGCGTTGAGGACCATCCGGACATGGCTCAGGAGAGTGTCTGGCCGCTGGGCCCCCAGCCAGATGTCCTTAATGTACAGAGACATCAGGAACGCAGCGGCAGCTGAGGAAGGGACAACGAGGCCATTAGGGTGCAGCCCGGTCAGCTGGGAACGAGTCTCCCACCCCGCACATGGTGACCCGGGGCCCACGCGGCCCCAGGTGGCAACCTGCGGCGAGCATGCGGATAGTCTGTCCTGCCTGTGCTTAACTGCTGGGCTCATCCTTCCAGTGCGTGCTAAAACTTCTCTTTTCTCACGTGATGACTGTGTGCTCAATGTTAAGCCTCATCCTCGGTGTTGACCCACCCAGGCCAAGAACCACAACTGAAGTTTGGGAGGGGTGGCCCGCGGGCCATAGGCACAGGCGAGGGGAGGAGGTTTACAGGCCAGGGGAGACCGCAGGGCCCCCCTGCGACCAGGTGAGCGCACCTGCCGGGCTGTGGCCCCGCCCCTACCCCCGCCCCCCTCCCGGATAACTAAGGAGAAGCCTGCAGACGCCCACCACCTCCCAATGACTGAGGAGACCCCCGCAGACGCCCACCACCTCCCTCCCGGATGACTGAGGAGACCCCCGCAGACGCCCACCGCCTCCCTGTTGTCCTATGGCCCTTGCTGTTGCCTCATCCAAGCAGGCACACCTTTATCGCCTGCTCGGTCGCTTCAGTTGAGTCCAACTCTTTGCGACCCCATGGACTGTCGCCCCCCAGGCTCTTCTGTCCGTGGGGATTCCCCAGGCAAGAATGCTGGGTAGGGTTGCCCTGCCCTCCTCCGGGGGATCTTCCCCACCCAGGGGTCGAACCTGCTCTCTTATGTCTCCTGCACTGGCATGCAGGTTCTTCACCGCTAACCCACCAGGGAAGCCACCACACCTTTATCAAGCACCCACTAAACGCTGTGCAGGTGAACTGGGACTTGGGCACCTGTATGCGCATGTGACCACGAGTCGCAACCTAACTCTGCGTGAATAACAGCAAGAAGTCAGAAAGCCACGCAGCGCCCCCAGGGGGACACAAGGCCGTCCAGAGGGTGTTCCTCTCCGCTGTTTGCCCCGTCGATCAAAGTTCCACCTGAAGGCAGAGGCAGGGCCTCCCTCTCCCCTGCACACTTGGGGCCCAGGGGCTGACTCTCTGTGCTCCCCAGACCCCTGCTGAGGGCCGTCCTCTCCCCAAGGCTTCACTGACAGCGCCCGCAGGCTGTGAGAACGGGGAGTGCTCCCGGCGCCAAGCCCTCCCCACGCGGTCTGCAGCCTCCAAGCCCAGCCCCCCACGTTACCTCGTGTGTCCGCATCCTCCTTGGCGTCCAGGGAGGAGACGTGGACGGCCTCAAGCACCGGCTGGAGGGAGCTCGTCACGGGGCCCCGGGCCGCCACCAGCCGCAGCAGGACTGTGTTGAAGAGGCCGACCAAGCGGTCCTCTGGCCCCTCCGGCTCCGCAGCGCCGCAGAACCTGCTGTACAGGCGGAATAGGCCGCTCGTCACGGCGCCGTCGCGGAGGAGCTCAGCCACCACCGCGGGCCGCGGCAGGATGTGGCTCTCGAGCCAGCCCAGGAGGCCCGCCGCGTCCGCCCGGCCAAGCGGGCTCCCAGCTGCGGAGCGCAGCACCCAGCTGGCCACCAGGGAGGCGATGGCACCCACAGGGCCTGTGTCTTCACGCTCCGGGTCGGCGCCAGGGACCTCGGGCTCCCAGTGGGTCAGGATGGACCTCAGGAGGCCCCTGCAGGCCTCCAGGGTGGACGCCGGCAGCTCGGGGTCCGCCACCTCCTCCGCCTCGCCGGGTCTCCGCTTCCGGGCCCGCGGGCCTTTGGCTCGGGCTGGCGCGCCAGGCTTGTTCTTCTCCTTGAGCATCTCTGTTACCCGCACAAAGAGGAAAAGAGAAAAGGCGTGAGACCGCCACTTCCCCACAGAGATGCAGAGGGCGGGGCATCCACACAGGGGAAGGCACAGCTCAGAGCTGGGTTCCTATAGGACGCGCCAGCCTGGGGCTCGGGCAGGGCTCGGTGTTTCCCTGTGACCGTCATCAGCGCTACTGTAACAGCTGAGCACCGGGGAGCGGCAGGGCCGGGGCCGCATCTCCTGCGAGCGCTATGAAGACACACAGGCCCTGTCTCTAAGCCTCGGGGGTGGGAGGGAGACGCCGGCTGCTCGGGGGGTGGGGAGGGCAGCAAGCACGTGAGTGAGAGATGAGACAGAACCACGAGGTGGACACTCACTCAGCAGCTCCCGGACTTGGCACTTCTCCGCGGCGGCCCTCAGGTCCTCCTGCAGCCGGACGTCTCTCTCCACGAGGTTCCACTTGTGCAGGAGCACGAGGACGTCCCGGGTGGACAGCACCGTGGCGTTCACGGTCAGGCGGTTCATGTCCTTGAAGGCCTGCAGCACGGTAGCCCGGTACCTCAGGACCGAGTCGAGCGCCCCAAAGAAGCCGGTCAGCTGGGTGGAGGCCAAGGTGGGCCTGTGGGTGAGCGGATGATCCTGGGCTGGGCGAGAGCCGCCTCGTCGCCTGCAGCCCAGGACCCAGGCGGCCCTTTCCAACAGACCAGGGCGTGGAGCCCAGCACCTCCCCAGGGGAGGCGGACAGGGGACCAGGGTCCAACCTACACCCTGGAGGCACAGAAAGCTCTCTGGAAACCAGGAGACAGTCAGGATGCCAGCCACCCCGCTAACAACTCCAGGACCGCCGGATCCTCTCCAACTCGGGAACTAAAGGCCAAGAGAAGCCCATGGATAGCACCACCCATGGCCCAGCCTGCAGAGGGCATTGGAAGGACACATATTCTTCCAAGTTCTAAGGAATTTAAAATTAAAAACTGCTTCCTCTATACAGTTTTCACATTTATTGTTTATTAAATAAATTTATTAAATAATTGTATCAATTTATTATTGGTACAATTGTTCTTCTCAATGACAACCAGTTCTCAGAGACCAGTGTGTCTTTGGTGGTGGTTTAGTTGCTAAGTTGTGTTTAACTCTTTGTGACCCCATGGACTGTAGCCTGCCAGGCTCCTCTGCCCATGGAATTTCCCAGGCGAGAATACTGGAGTATTGTGTCTTTGGACAACTCCAAAATAAAGACCCTGATGCTGGGAAAGATTGAAGGCGGGAAGAGAAGGGGACGACAGAGGATGAGATGGCTAGATGGCATTACTGACTCAATGGACCTGAGTTTGAGCAAGGTCCGGGAGCTGGTGATGGACAGGGAGGCCTGGTGTGCTGCAGCCCATGGGGTTGCAAAGAGTCAGACACGACTGAGTGGCTGAACTGAATTGAACTAAGAAACACGGGTACCCAGCATCGATTCAACAGCTAATTTCAGAACAACAGAAAACCAAACACCCTGTTCTTTATCAAGAAGGTTTTCACTCTAAGATGACAATCCATTTGCTATCCGTTGCCTGGTTCCCATCAGCACACCTCTGTTCCCACATCAGAAGCTTGAGGACATGGTGTATTTTCCCTAACACAGTAGAATCTGGCAAGCACTGAGTTCTCCTGAGGCAACCAAGCGTGTAATTCCAAGGGGAAAATACTGAAATTTTCTAGGAAATTCATGGTTGAAAGGGAGCCTGTCCAGGCTAATACAGGTGGTGAGTTTGGGAATAACAACTTTCTTAGGTTTAAAATCACAGAAAACATGTTCTTTCTATATCATTTTGATTGCTTGAATCCGAATATCCAGGTAGATGGTTTGCCTGCTAAAAATGATCTGGCGTGACAGGCTGCAGGTTTCCTAAGCGTGTTAAGGAACCTCCTAAAGTCTAACTGTTAAAGAGGAACAGGGGAAATGGGTGTCCTGAGGTTAGGACCACAGCCCCGGCCGAGCCCGCCTGTGGAGCCGGGACCGGGGGAGGGGCTCACCTCAGGTGCTTCGTGAGCACAAGGAGAACGTAGAGGAACTCGTCCACCAGGTGCAGGGCCAGCAGCTTCGGGGGCTCCTGGGACCCAGGCTTGCAGGGAGGCTGCGCCCCGGCCGGCACGTCTCTGTTGCCCAGCGTGGTCACCCACAGCGTGTGCAGCAGGGAGATGAGGTTAGAGAGCAGTTCAGTTTCCAGAAACCTGAAGCCAAACATGGGGAGAGTCAGCTCTCTGTCACATCCTCTCCTCCCATCTCCTGGAGGGGGTGGGTGGGAACCAGGGAGGAGACGGTGATGGTGGTAGCCACCCCAAGGGGCTGGCTTCTCCCCCAGCCCCCAACCCTTCTATGCGCTCACTGAGCCACTGCAGCCCCGGACAGGCACAGCACCTAAGGAAAGACAGGGTGTCTGCTACAAAACGCAGCTCCATCCCAGGGCAAGGCCCCAACCCTCCTTTCTCATCAGAAACTTTCTGGTGAAAGAAACTTTCTCACCAACCCTCCTTTCTCCCTCAGTCTCATCTAAGAGATACTCCGGAGCCTCTGTGGCATGGAAAGGAGAGCCTCCCTGCACACAAGAACAACCCACTCTAAAGCACAGATAACAGCCAGGAGCAGATAATCAGCCAGTGCGGCCTTCGGAGAGAAGATACTACTTTCTTTAGGAGAAAAAATTGTAAGTTCTTTTTAAAAATGCACAAAAGAAAGAAAAAAAGGTGGGGGGGGGGTTGGGCAAAGAGTCTGGATATTCCCAGAATTATTATCACAGACAGCTGTCTGAAGGAAAGATTCCTGTCACTGAGGGGCTGTCTGCTGAGACAAGAGTCTTCATCTTTTCACACAGCCTCAGAAGTAGGAGACTGTTAAGAATCAAAACGGGTCACGTTATGGCTGAATTGTGTGCCCTTCCACCCCGCCCCACCATTCACAGGTAGAAGCCCCACCATTCACAGGTAGAAGCCCCACCACTCACAGGTAGAAGCCCCAACTCCCGCTGTGACTGTATTTGGTGGTGGGGCCTTTGGGAGGTCATTAGGTTTAGATGAGGTCATGAGGATGGAGCCCCATCACCGGATTAGCACCCTGTAAGAAGCTTGTGGCTCAGCTGGTAAAGAATTCGCCTGCGATGCAGGAGACCTGGGTTCAATCCCTGGGTTGGGAAGAGCCTCTGGAAAAGGGAAAGGCTGCCCACTCCAGTATTCTGGCCTGGAGAATTCATGGACTGTATAGTCCATGGGGTCACAAAGAGTCGGATACGACTGAGCGACTTTCATTGTCACTGTCTGTCAAGAAGCGGAAGAGACCAGAGCGCTCTCGTTCTCCCTCCCTGCCCGGACACGGGGACACTGTGGACCCTGGGAAGAGGGCTCTCACCGAAGCCGACCGTGCTGGCCCCCGGGAGGGGAGAAAACGAATCCGTGCCGTTTCGCCAGCCAGTGACAGCAGCCCCGATCACAAGACAAGACGCCCACGCCAGCCCTCAATGCGGCTCCGGCATGGGCCCTTAGCAGGGCACCTTGACCCTGGGCGCGCTGAACCCACATCACGTGAGCGAGCGCTCCCGAAACCCGAGGCTCCCCGTTTCTGCCTCACAACCTCAGAAAGAACCCCACTCCTGAAGAGCAGCCTGGGCCGCACAGGAGACGGAAAGGTGGTGTAGAGGACGCTGTTTTGGGGAATGCAGATTCTCCTGGACGCTCCTAGCGGACACTGGAGCTGCAGGAGCTGCCATGATCTCAGGGTCTCCCCCTGACTCCCCTCTGCCTGACGGCCAGCACGCACGCGCGCTCTCCCTCCACCCGATGCCCACTGCACGTGCGCTCCTCCGCCCCTCCCCCTCCCCCCCCACCCCCTCTTCTCAGGATACAAGGTGCTTACTTGCTCTCCAGGATGTTTAGGACCCACGTCAAGAGGCTGCAGTCCCGCAGCATCTCATAGGCAGACCTGGCGTCCCGGGCGGCATTCTGCAGAATCTCCAGAATACAGTTCTGTAGACCCCAAGCAAAAAGTCATTGGTTTTCCGTGGGAAAAACTTGACTTACCCGAACCAGGAAAGGCCTTTAAAAAACAGAACGGTGTCCCCCAACTACACAGGCGATCGCTGCACATGACACCTGCCAGGTCTGCGAGAATGGTGGCCGTGGGGGACCACCCTCCCCGCCGTAACTGCCAGAGGACGCAGACGGCTGCAGGGAGAGCGCGAGCCTGGGGACACCCACCCGCTAACCCATCACCAGGGGAGATGGGACGGAAACCACGCGGCCCCGCATCCCGGCAGCCTGAGCCGGGACAGTGAAGACTCACAGCTAGTTCAGCCGGGAACTGCTGGCGGCTCATTTCATTGCCTCTGTTTTACCACATGGAGAGGACAGAGAGATGGGACTCTCGCTGGAACTGTTAACGGGGTGCTCCCCCCACCCCACTTTTTTTTTTTTTTTTTGCAAACCACATGGCATATGGGAATCTTACTTTCTGGACCAGGGATTGAACTCATGCCCACTGCAGTGGAAGCACGGAGCCCTAACCACTGGAGCACCAGGGAAGTCCCTAATTGGGTGCGTTAGAGTGCTCACATGCCATAAAAAGTAGAAATCCACCTTACTCAAATTCCGCTTATGCAGACTCACTCCTCTTTAGCCATATTTTACGTGATGCCAGAGACAGACACTGATAAGGCTACAAACTCATCAGAACCCCACAGGCTTTTCCTAGTTAACATCTCACTCCACATGATTTCTTGCTCCAGTGACAGAGCTCATGTGTGGACTTCCTCCTCAGCTGTGAGGGAGCCGGTTTCGAAGCCTGACTCCTTTCCCCACCAAGGTCGGAAGACCTGTGGTTTCTGTGTTACGTGACACGCTGGTGGCTGGTGCATGTCTGGAAGCGCCTCAGTCGTGTGTGGGGTAATGTGTTTGCAGAGCTCTCGGCTGCCCAGAGCCTCCTGGTTCCTCACTACCCGCCTCCCTCCCCGCCAGCCCTGGGCCCAGGTGAGGGCGCCGGGAAGCGAATGTTGAAGCAGGCGGTCAGGTGAGGGTCCACAGGGTGGGACTTGCAGGTGGTGGAAACCCGAGCAGGGGCGCCCCCAGCCCCCAGCCCCCTGGGGGCGCCTACCTGGGCCGCCTCATCGCACAGCGGGTTGCTGAAGAAGGACAGGACGATGTGGAGGACGCCCCGCCTGGCACACAGCTCGAAGCAGTGCTTGTCCCGCATTCCCTGGCGGAGGAGCCCCAACACCCACTCCCGCTCCGTCTTCTGCTGTAAAGCCCCGCAAACAAGAGTCCGTCATTAAACACGTGAAGGCTCATTTTTTTTCCTGAAAACTCTTCCAGCACCACTATTTTCAAGGGTGGTGAAGACTGCAGCATGGCAGCCCCCGACCCTCCGTTTCTGGGTCTGTTATTAAAAACCCTCCCTCTCTCTCTGCTTCCATTTCTGCGGGTCAGGAATAAAGGACCAGGTCACATTTACACACTCAACTGTACTCATGTGTTCCATAAAAGCACATCAATAGTCAACCCGGTGATTCGCCCAGAAAATAACAGTGAGGAGGCTGTGATTCGAGGCCTCTGGAGTCTATGAAGTCTGAGAAGCACCCGAGAATCACGGTGTGGACTGGGAAATGTTTTCACAGGCAGGCCCGCCTGCCCCCGCACCCGATCCCCACACTATACCCCAGCCTGTGCTCTGCCACCGACAAGTCTCCGTGGGGACGCGTTGGCACGGTGGCTGAGCATCCCATTCAAGACTGGGGACCTCGAGGGTCTCAGGGCAGGGGGCTACCTCGAAGTCTGAGCTATAGAAGAACTGGTAGAAGCCTGGAACTTTGCTCATGTTCAGGTACTCGTGGGACAGCAGGAACTTGTTGATCTTCATGTACATGTGCTCCTCTGTGAACACAAGCAGACTGTCACTCAAAGGGAAAGTGAAGTCGCTCAGTCGTGTCTGACTCTGCGACCCCATGGACTGTAGCCTACCAGACTCCTCTGTCCATGGGATTTTCCAGGCAAGACTACTGGAGTGGGTTGCCATTTCCTTCTCCAGGGGATCTTTCCAACCCAGGGATCGAACCCAGGTCTCCTGCATTGCAGGGAGACACTTTACTGTCTGTGTCACCAGGGAAGCCCGGCTGTCACTCAGGATGGCGCCAAAAGGACACCCTGTGGCCAGGTGGAGTCAGGGAGTGGGATCCTGGGGGGGTGGGGGGGGGGTGGTCAGACAGAAATCCCTGCGTCCACGGGGCTTTCTAATTCTCATCCAGGTGATCAGCTCTCAAGAATTAAAATGCAGGAAGACACCTTAGGCCTACACGGCATAAGGGCTTTTCTCACGGCTCAGGAACCGCTTGGGGATGTTCGGTCCTTTGCTGATACCACTGCCTCCGAGGCGTCAGCCTAAGCTCCAATCAGCTGGTGGGCAGAGTGCAGGCTGCCACACCAAAGACAGCACAGGGCTAATACCAGCTCATCAGCCTCCCACTGAGGGAACTTCCACGGCAAAGGGGGCTCAGACCCGCCCTGGGTCGCTTGGCTCTGGGATGCAACAGGGCCAACACCTCCTCCCCTGGTCTTACCCTTGGACCGTCGCCTCCCATTTATCCAAAGCACCTGCAGCCTCACAGCCCATCCAAGACCGCTGCCCTGAGCTCCCGCACCGACATGAGGTCTGATGTGGGACAGCTCACCTGGGGGGGCACAGACTGGACGGAAGGCCAAGACTATCCCTCGTAACCTCGGCCAGGATATTTTCTCTGAAGAGCCTGTTTCTTTAGAGTCTAAATGGCTAATTACCTTCTTTCCTCCCATAATTTTTAAGGTTAAAAAAAAAACCAAACCATGCCATAAAAATGACACAGGATCAGATGAAAATCAGATCTGAATTCCAACAGCAACATGACTGCAGACTAATCGTGGGGCCTTGGACAAGCTATTTGGGTTTCCCAGGTGGCGCTAGTGGTAAAGGACCCACCTGCTGATGTAGGAGACCTAAGAGATGCGGGTTTGATCCCTGGGTCAGGAAGATGCAGTGGAGAAGGAAATAGCAACCCTCTCTAGCATTCTTGCCTGGAGAATCCCATGGACAGAGGAGCCTGGTGGGCTACAGTCCATGGGGTTGCAAAGGGACAGACATGACTGAAGCGACTTAGCACGCATGCACAGACAAGCTACTTAACCTTGGGGTTAACCTTCGGCTGGAAGGCTGTCTCCCCATCTGCAAACAACCACGTTACCTGCAAAGAGCCCTGTGGTCCCTAACGGCATCAACATTCTGTAACTTTTCACTAGTAACAGAAAGAAAAGGTCCCATGATAGACTGACTTGTGCTCAGATCACTCCGACAGTGGGCAGCTGTGAAGACAAAGCAGAGCCATGTTCTGCGCCCTGGGGACAGGGGCACGGGGACTCACAGGCGGCCTGTCCTTCCGCTGCTGAGCTGCGCTGACGCTGACCCCCTGGGACGCGGGCACGGGGACCCACATGCCGCCTGTCCTCCTGCTGGTGAGCTGTGCTGACACTGACCCCCTGGGACGCGGGCACGGGGACCCACAAGCTGCTTGTCCTTCCGCTGGTGAGCTGCGCTGACACTAACCCCCTGGGGACGCGGGCACGGGGACCCACAGGCCGCCTGTCCTCCTGCTGGTGAGCTGCGCTGATGCTGACCCCCTGGGGACGCGGGCACAGGGACCCACAAGCTGCTTGTCCTTCCGCTGGTGAGCTGCGCTGACACTAACCCCCTGGGGACGCAGGCACAGGGGCCCACAGGCCGCCAGTCCTTCTCTGGTGAGCTGCGCTGACGCTGATCCCCTGGGACGCGGGCACGGGGACCCACACGCCGCCTGTCCTCCTGCTGGTGAGCTGTGCTGACACTGACCCCCTGGGGACGCGGGCACGGGGACCCACACGCCGCCTGTCCTCCTGCTGGTGAGCTGTGCTGACACTGACCCCCTGGGACGCGGGCACGGGGACCCACAGGCCGCCTGTACTCCTGCTGGTGAGCTGCGCTGATGCTGACCCCCTGGGGACACGGGCACGGGGACCCACAGGCTGCTTGTCCTCCTGCTGGTGAGCTGCGCTGATGCTGACTCTGAGCTTGGAGCGCGGCTGCCAGCACCAATGGGGCCTCTGCATCAGACCCCCACCGAGCGCTTGCATGCAGGTCTGAGAGTCCCTCAACAGGCCCTCTGGCGGAACTGTGATCTGCTCTTACTACAGCTTTACACGCCTGCAGGCAGACAGGAACTCACACTCGTCCCCCATCACACACACACTCTCCTGAACCTTGCACTTGTGACCCTCACACATGTGCTAGTGGACTGGTTATGCTAGTGGGATAACGCCACCAAATGGCCTTGCTCAGCCTCAGAATTTCCACCTCGCCCCGACCTGATTCTAGCAGTGGTACCTGGTTTCAAAATCTGCACAGCTGCCTTGGCAATGAAGAGAGTCAGGGTGAAGGTGAGTCTCATGTTCTTGGTTCGGATCCCGTTCCGGACCACGTCCAACAGGTACAGTACCTTAAAAGCAGGAAAAAGGGCGGGGCCGGGGGGAGAATTTGCAGAACAGCTGTGACCAGCCTTGTCTCGTGCAGCCGACTCCATGGCTTCGCAGGGTGGCCCACGTCTCACATCCAGGGGCTCACTCTGCCCCCCCCCCCTTCAGGGCACGGCTTCTGAGGTTCTGTGTCCTGGGTGACAGCTGCTGTAACCTGAGTTCAGATCAAGGAACCAGTCGACAGAAATGAGAACTGCTCTGCCCTCTGTGACGCAAGAGTTGTTCTTGTTAGGAGAGACCTCTCTCTACCACCCAGGGCTGAGGGCCCAAGATGACCTCTGGTACCACCCCCCGCCCCGCCAGGAGGAGACAAGGCTTCGGTTCTGTATCAGAGTCTCCGGGCAACGCCTCTGAGCTCTTCAGGAAACCCTTCCACCAGGCCTCAGCCCCGCTCACCTGCGGCTGCTCCCGGAAGCGTGCCCCCTCCAGCTGCGAGTAGTAGGCCGCCAGCACCGAATAGGCTGCAGCGCGCATCTGCGGGTCGTAGCTGCTGAGGGCCGTGACGGTCAGGCCCAGAGCGTTGGAATCCACGAATTTTCTACAGTCCACCACAAATTCTGAGGGGGATAAAACAGAGCGTTAACCACACACACACACACACACACACACGATTCCATAATACATGTGCAACACAGAATTCCATTTCCTTTTGCATTTTACTATCATCTGAAGCGTGTGTGTGCCAGACACAGAAATGCACGTCCCCCTCCTGCTCCCTTAAGTTCTGCTGCGGTTGTCTAAAAGACTGTCTCCCCTCCCATGGCAGCAACCACAGGCCTTCAGTTTCTGAGACACTTGTAAATCCCAAGGAGGACTCTTTCATCACTTCTCAGAAATACCCGATGAGTCGGAGAACATCAGAGATGTTCGGAGGTGTCAGAGGTGACATCAGCACCCACCACTGAGGTCCCAGCATGAAGAAGCCTGAGGGACATAACTGGGGGGGGGGGGAGGTAGGAGGAAGGGACTCGGCAGGGAAAGCCAGCTTAGTCAGTCCAATGAGCGACCTTGGAATGTACAATCAATAAAAGATAAACCAAAAATATATATATATATACACCACTGATAATATTTTCTACAAGTCAAACTCTTTTTTCTTTACTCTTCTCTCCCCAAAACTTAACACTTAAAAAGATAATGAAAGGAGAATAAATGAAGGAGAAAAACGATAATAGCTACTTCTTCTTAGTCCAAACAGCTATACGGACACATGACGGTCCTCAAATGGGGGGCTGTCCAGAAGTGTAGAGACCAGCCGGTGGAGGACGGGTGGGCGTGCCTGCAGTGCCTGCCTGGGCTGACAAGGCTGAGTCACGCCAGGGTGGGGACCCGCGCATCCTCCTCCTCTGAAGCAGCGGGAGCTCCTGGAAGCCGCTTACGTGCAGGTCCCTTCCCCTTTCTCAGCTCTCACACCGTATCGCAGAAGGACCAGCATTTCCACTTCTAGCCAGGAGAGAGACAGGAAAGAGACTCATCTGTCCAACTGAAAAAACAGCTGAAGCCATGAACTAAGGATTTCCAAGACACTGGACATGGAGCAACAGAGGACGGTGATCCTGAGACGGGAAACCAGGCAACCCGCCGATCGTTCCAGCTCACACCTGGAGTTCCCAGGCCATGGCACAGGGGGGTAAACCGAGGCAGAGCCCAGGCAGCTCTGAGCTGGGGACACAGAGCTGGGGGAGGGGGGCCTGGGAGGCCAAGTGGCCAGAGCTCACGAGGCCGAGCCCAAGAGAAGACTGCTCCACTGGGAGAGTGCCCGTTGGCACGAGCACATGAGCAAACCCCCCAGGTGGGGAAAGAACCACCCGGAGGGGTGAGCAGAGACAACCAAGTCTCCCACCCGTTTGGAGACAGCTCCTGTTCCCACCAGCCAGGGCCACGTCTCCACAGCACCCAGGGACAGGGCATGTCACCTCACCTGTGCAGCAAAGGTCCTTCCATGTTGCTCTGGTCCCACCTAACACAACTTATAAGCAACACTGGAAGGATCAAACCATTTCTAAGGAACTTGGATGTGTACTAGAACAAAGCCGAACAACATTTCACAAGAATACCAAAAATACCCAGCCCCAAAGAGGGTAAAACTCACAATGTCTGGCTTCCAATAAAAACTGCCCAATAGTCAGACAAGCAGGAACATGGCCCATTATGAAGAGAAAAACTTACTATCTGGAAATGACTTGTAAATGACATAGATAACAGAATTAGTAGACATGTATAAAGTTAGCAGTGCTGAATTCTACATGCTCAGGAAACTAGAAGATGGACTTCCCTGGTGGTTCAGTGGTAAAGAATCTGCCTGTCGATGCAGGAGATGCAGATTCAATCCCTGGTCTGGGAAAATCCCACTTGCCTTGGAGCAACTAATTCTGTGGGCCACAACTATTCAGCCTGTGCTCTAGAGCCTGGGAACAACTCCTGAGTCTGTACACCACAACTAGAGAAGGGGCCGTGCAGCCATGAAGACCCAGCACAGCTAAAAATATACAAATAAATAAAAAGAAGCTAGAGGAAAGACTGGGTGTGCTAAGGAGAGACATGGAAGATAAGAAAATCCTAATCAAGCTTCTAGAGATAAAACTTTAAAACGTCTGAAATGAAAAATGCACTGGATGAATTGTTGACAATGTAAACTGGTACAGTCACTAAGAAGAATAGTATGGAGGTTCTTTAAAAAATTAAAAATAGAGCTACCTCATGATTCAGTAATCCCACTCCTGGGCATATACCTGGCTGCTAAGTTGCTGCTAAGTCGCTTCAGTCGTGTCCGACTCTGTGCGACCCCATAGACGGCAGCCCACCAGGCTCTGCCATCCCTGGGATTCTCCAGGCAAGAACACTGGAGTGGGTTGCCATTTCCTTCTCCAGTGCATGAAAGTGAAAAGTGAAAGTGAAGTTGCTCAGTCGTGTCCAACTCTTCGCGACCCCGTGGACTGCAGCCTATCAGGCTCCTCCGTCCATGGGATTTTCCAGGCAAGAGTACTGGAGTGGGGTGCCATTGCTTTCTCTGGGGCATATATCTGGAGACAACCATAATTCGAAAAGATACATGTACCCCAATGTTCACTGCAGCACTGCTCACAAAAACTAAGACATGGAAGCAACCTAAATGCCCATCAACAGAGGAATACACAAAAGAAGATGTGGTACATTTATACAATGGAGTATTACTCAGCCATAAAAAAGAACAAAATAATGCCACATGTAGCAACATGATGAACTTAGAGATTATCATACTAACTGAAGTAAGCCCCAGAGAGAGAGACAGAAATAACATATGATATTGCCTATATGTGGAATCTAAAAAAAAAATAAAACAATGAACTTCTTTATGGTTACCAAAGGACCAGGGAGGAGAAATAAATTAGGAGTATGGAATTAACATACATACACTACTATATAAGAGGGAAAAAATGCCTACCTTATAGCCCAGAGAACTATACTCAATATTTTGTAATAAACTATAAGGGAAAAGAATAGCTATGTTTTTGTATAACTGAATCATTTTGCTGTATACTTGATGCTAATACAACATTATAAATTAACTATACTTCAACAAAACAAACAAAAAAGAAAAATGTACTAGATAAGCTGATCAGATTAGACACTGCAGAAAAAAAATCCATGAACCTGAAGACACAACAGAATTTAACCAAACTGAAACAGAGAAAAAATAATTCTAAAAACCTGAGCATCAGTAAGCTATGGGACAATTTCAAGCAGGCTCATACATGTGGAAGTGGAGTCCCTAAAAATGAAGAAATAATGGCCAAAACTCTTCCAAATTTGAAAAACTACAAATGTACAGGGCCAAGACAGTCACTGGACACCCCAAACCAAAGAAATAAAGACAATTATACCCGAGTTTATCATAATCAAATCGCTTGAAACCAATGATTAAAAAATCTTAAAAGTGATCTCAAAACATACAGAGGAGCACAGATAAGAATGGCAGATTTCCTGTTAGAAACAATGCAATCTAGAATCTAAGTGTCAACATCTTTAAAATACAATAAGAATAAAACTTGTCAACCTAGAACTTTATATCCCGTGAAAATCTTTCAGAAGTTAAGACTTTTTAAAAGCTCAAAGAATGGATCCCCAACAGCCATAAACTACAAGAATTCTTAAAAGAAGTGTTTTGGGGAGAAGGAAAATGATAGAAGATGGAAATCTGGATCTACATAAAAGAATGAAGAGAACAAGAAATGATAGCTTTGGGATAAACATAAAATATTTAAATCCCTTTAAAAGGTAATTGACAGTTTGAAGCAAAAATAACCACATATTGTGAACTTTTTAACACATGCATGGAAAATTTATGATACATATAGCGTGAAAGCTAAGAGAGGAGAGAGAGATACTATTCCAAGGTGCTTCTACTATTCATGAAGTGGTATAATCTCATTTGAAGGTAAACCACAATAAATTGAATATGTATATAATAAACTCTAAAGCAACCAACACACACACACATATACATACACTCACAAGCACACAAATTAATTACAGCTAAAAGTCAATAAAGACAATAAAGTGGAATCAGACCAATAATGACATTAAATGTAAATGGTATATACATTCCAATTAAAAAGCTTTACTTCATGGCAAATAGATGAGGAGAAAAAATGGAAACAGTGACAGATTTTATTTTTTGGGGTTCCAAAATCACTGTGGATGGTGACTGCAGCCATGAAATAAAAGACATGACTGAGGCTAAGTAACGGCAGCGTGGTCAGACTAGATGGGGAACAAACCCAGTGTCTGCTGTCTACAGGAAACCACTTTTAATCTCAGGACGCAGACTTTAAGCAAAAGGATGGAGCAGCGATCCTTTTTTACATTACAGCCACTATGGAGAACAGTGTGAAGATTCCTTAAAAAACTGGAAATAGAACTGCCATATGACCCAGCAATCCCACTCCTGGGCATACACACTGAGGAAACCAGATCTGAAAGAGACACGTGCACCCCAGTGTTCATCGCAGCACTGTTTATAATAGCCAGGACATGGAAGCAACCTAGATGTCCAACAGCAGACGAATGGATAAGGAAGCTGTGGTACATATACACCATGGAATATTACTCAGCCATTAAAATGAATTCATTTGAATCAGTTCTAATGAGATGGATGAAACTGGAGCCCATTATACAGAGTGAAGTAAGCCAGAAAAATAAAGACCAATACAGTATACTAACACATATATATGGAATTTAGAAAGATGGTAATGATAACCCTATATGCAAAACAGAAAAAGAGACACAGATGTACAGAATAGACTTTTAGACTCTGTGGGAGAAGGCGAGGGTGGGATGTTCAGAGAGAACAGCATTGGAACAAGTATACTATCAAGGGTGAAACAGATCACCAGCCCAGGTTGGATGCATGAGACAAGTGATCAGGGCTGGTGCACTGGGAAGACCCAGAGGGATGGGATGGGGAGGGAGGCGGGAGGGGGGTTCAGGATGGGGAACACATGTAAATCCATGGCTGATTCATGTCAATGTATGGCAAAAACCACTACAATACTGTAAAATAATTAGCCTCCAACTAATAAAGAGAAAAAAAAAATGTATAGAAACATCAAATCATTAGTTATGCACCAGGAACTAACAATGCTGTAGGTCAACGATACTTGAAAAACAACAAACAATCCCAGAGGAAAAGAGATTAGATTTGTGGCTACCAGATACAGGGGACAGGAGGAGGGAAAAGCGATGAGGGAAGTCAAAACGTACAGACTTCCAGTTATAGGGTAAATAAGTACTGGGGATATAATGTACAATACAATAAATTTAATTAATATTATTGTATGTTATATATGAAAGTTCGTAAGAGAGTAAATGCTGAGTTCTTAGCACAAGGAAAACATTTTTTTATATTTCTTTAATTTTATTGTATATGAGGTGTTGGATGTTCACTCAACTGACTGTCGTAATCATTTCATGGTGTATGTTAAGTCAAATCGCTATGTTGAATACCTTAAATTTATACAGTGCTGATGTCAATTATGTCTCAGTAAAACTGGAAGGAAAAAAAAGTAAAAGTAAAAAATTACTCTTTTTTCCAAAGAGTAATTAGAAGACTCTTGTGCTCTTAACAGCTTACAGACTAAATTTTCTCATTTCTAACAAGTGACTACTTCTGATGGGAGGGGGAAAAATTTCCAAAAGCATCAAACTGAGGGATAAAATGATACTATTTTGGGGAGGATGAGATATATTTAAGATACACCTACATACCTACTGATACATAATAAAAACACATAAATAGAACAAGTTTGGGAAAGAGAACAATCTAAACATTTAATATTATACTCACTAAAAATAGCTAGTATTTAGCAGTAATCACGGACACTTTAAAGACAAAAGGATTTTCCACATGTCCATGAGGAAGTCAGTTTCATGTTCTGTGGGGTCTGCTATTCCCCAGAAGTCTTGGCTTTGTAAACTGTATGGAAAAGAGCTGCTCCTTGAGAGTTGGAAATATAAAAGGTGATCAAAAACAGAAATACCAGCAGGTTTAAGAACCTCAAAAAAAAACCCCTGGTGACAACAAATTTGCCCTGGCTTAACCGGGACAATCATCAGGGACTAAAATAGAAAGCAGTCTACGTCTCAAGGGGCTCAGTGGCCGCTCAGCGTGCGGTCGGAGCGTCAGGAGCTTTCCTCACACCATCTCCCAGAGGCGGCCTGGCCAGGAAGGCGCGTCCCACGGAGGGTCCACCGAGCCCGAGTCCAGGGCCCTAGGGAGAACCGCGCAGGGCCCCCCGGTCCTGTGAAGCGGCGACGGAAGGGCTCGGCCTGGCTCTCCTGAGGACGAACACCCGTCACTGCCATTATTACAGCCTCGGCCGGCCCTGCTTCTCAGCCAAGGACTCAGAGAACAAGCTGCAAGGCTGAGGACACAGGTTCCCACTCTCAGCAAAGGGGTGACACGCAACGCTGAGGCTGGTTCTCTCAAGCCTGGCCACCCCACCAAAACCAGTCACACACCTGATTTAGGATTACAAAATGTCTCAGGAAACAAAAACATGCTGTGGAAAAACTGCCACACACGGCATGGACGAACCTCACAAATACAACGTGGGTAAATGGAGCTTCTACAAAAGAGTGTTCAGTGTCATTTAAATAAAGCATAAACACAGGACACTGGCCCTACTGAGGGGGAAGAGGCACTGGCCAGCAAGCGGCCTGGGTGCCGTTGACTATGTTCTGTTCCTTGATCTGATGGGTGGTTTTCCCCTCAACTCACACATAATATGACCTGTATGGGTTTCTATATATCACACTTCAATAAAAGTTTATTTAAAACATTGTTCATGCTCACTTATCCACCAGGGCAAAAGAAAATGCAATAATAACTTAAAAAAAATAACAATATGAAAAAAAGATTCATGACTTAATTCAGCCACAATAAGCCTCGGGCCATTATAAATGCGGCTCACAGACTCCTGTTTTATTCAACTTGTCCCTTTATTGCTAGTTCTCCCCTCCTGATGAATATGCTTCTCCTTATCAGACGATAAAAATCTGTTTAAAATATTCTGCTTCCTTTTTTTTCGTTCTGGATTAGAAGCAAGTAGCCCAGAGCAAAATTTAATGACCTGGTTTTTCTTGGTGCGCTTGTTCTGCATTTCTGTTTGCCTATCTATTTCCACACTTTTAAAAATATTCTACTTTAATGCGAATGATCATAGTGTAACCAGTATTTTAAGCTACAGCAAATCCTTTTTGGTAGGCATGATCTGCAAATTTTATAACAAGAAAATGTAAAACGGGCTGTATTTCCCTAACTTGAAAGAGCATTTACTAGTTACCTCTCTTCACAAAAGGCCTTTCAGATCCCGTCCTTCCCCTACCCTCCTTTGCCTAAAAAAGGCAATAGTCAAGATCCTGAGAACAACAGTCCTGATTTTACTATTTCTCTATTAAAGTGTTTTCCAAGCCTCTGCCTTCTGCTTCCTAAAAGCTCTATTGAAAGACAGGGCAGCAGACTAAATGACTTGTAGTAATTCACTTAAGTTGCATCATATTTTTAGACTGTGGAAAAATCTATTTTCATATTTGATGAGAAACAGACTTAGCCGGCAGAGCCAAGGCATGGAGGAATCAAAGGCGTAGCAGATGCGCCTCCCCCAGTTGCTGGTAACAGTTACTGCTGGCCGTCATCATCACCTGACGCTTGCACTTGCTCTCTTGCAAAGAAGACTTAGCTCAGCCACAGAACCCGGGGTCCAAGGAAGGGGTATGCTCTGAGAACACAGCCCTCTCACTCTTCTGTTAGGAACTGAAGAGCAGTGGTGGAGGATCAGCAAATCTGGTCACAAGGAGCAATGTTTGAGTGCAAGACGATGTCAGGTTCAGAGAATTCCCCAGTGGTCCAGTGCTTATAGACCCAGAGCTTTAGTGGGCCCAGGGTTCAAACCCTAGGCAGGGAACTAGGATCCCACAAGCTGCATGGCCGGGGGGAAAAAAAAGATACCAAATTTAAAAAGGAGAACACAAGAGTGATCAGTGAGGCACGGTCTCCCAGGGCACCTAGTCTACGCGGCCATGGCAACCAGGAGGGAGATGCCAGGGACCCTCTGAGACAGCACACTGCCTGGTCCCCACGATGCATCAGAGGGAGCCTAACACAGCAGATGGATGAGGCTCCCGCTTGGGGCCACGAGGGGAGCAGTAACGACCACTCCTGCCCTCCTAGCCAGGAAGCGTCAGTGCGGGGGAGCTGGGACTCCCCTGGCTGCTGGTCACCGGGAGAAGGGATGAGGAGGAGACAGGGTGGATTGCCAAATGGGGGCTGGATCAGAACATCCGCAGGCAAACCAATGTGGCTGGACCTACACTCCACACCCTATACAAAAACTAACTCAAAAGAGGCCTCAGACTTGAATGCAAACGCTACAACGATGAAACTTTCAGAAATAAACATGGGAGTTCTTTGAGATGGAGGGATGGGCAAAGAGTTCTTAAGACTTGACACCAAAAGCTTGACCCATAAAAGGGAAAACTGATAAACTGGACTTCATCAAAACTGAAGACTTCTGCTCTTTGAAGAAGGGTGTTAAGAAGGTGAAAAGATAAGCTACACATTGGGAGAAAATATTTGCAGACCATGTATCAAAGGACTCATAACTGCAATATATAAAGAAACCTCAAAACCCAATGGTAAAAACAAATAAAACCCATCAGAATAAACAGGTAAAAGACATGAATTGACATTTCACCAAAAAAGATTATAGATGGCAAGTAAGTCACAAGATGTTCAACATCATTAGCTGTTAGGAAAAAGCAAATACACACCACACTGAGATAGCATTACACACCAATTGTTGACAAAATGCCCCAAACCGACAGACCCGACAGCCTGGGAATCAGACCCTGGTCCTTACCAGTGTACACCTGTGCATGTCTCTGTCCTTTCTCTCTCCCTGACCAATTCACCTGCAAAGAGTCCCACCCTCAGCGTAGCAGACACAAAACGCCATTTCAAAAAATACACTTAAACCAAGAGAAAGCCAACCTTAGCAGACTCTCACTCATCGTCAAGGACAAAATCTCTCATTTCAGTGAGAACTCAGAAAAGGCTCTTGCCATTATTACCATTAGGAAAACATCAAGGACATGCCCAGATTTTAAAATTACAATAAAAAAAAAAACAACAACAACCATGTATTCAAAACATTAACTGTTACTTTGCTGAAAATCACTGGAAAGAAAAGGTGAGAAGGCAGCTGAAGATCCTTCAAGAATTATCTTCAAGACTAAGGTCCTAATCGGGTAATTATGGGGGCTTCCCAGGTGGCACAGCAGTAAAGAATTTGTCGGCCAATGAGGGAGCCACAGGTTCAATCCCTGGATCAGGAAGATCCCCTGGAGGAGGAAATGGGGGTCCAGTATTCTTGCCTGGGGAATCCCATGGACAGAGGAGCCTGGTGGGCTACAGTCCACGGGGTCGCAAAGGATCAGACACGACTGAGCAAATAAGCACACATGCACTGGTAATTACGGTAAAAATTATGACCCCTCCACTCACTCTGGAAGACTGCAGTTACCTGGCCTGGTCAGCTCACTGAAGAGATGGAGGAGGAAACAGGGGTCATAAAGGTCACCGAGATCCACTGTGCTCCTGTCTTTAAATATCGGCTCCTGTGCGTCCTGAAACAGCCCGAGACAGACAGAAACGTGCAGGTCAACCTCGTAAACGTAACACCATGTGGATGTTTGCCACTATCACTTAGAGCTCAAGTTATTTTGAATACTGAAGTACACACACACAAAAATGTTTCTATATAAAAAAACAGACAGGGCTTGTACGTGAGATACCTTTGATATCTGCTTTGTGGAAAGAAGTTATAAATGAAGTTAAGTGTGGCCAGTGCTGACAGCTGATGAAGCCGGCTGATGGGTGCATGGGTTCTGTCTCTATACCTTTGCATATTCTTCGAGTTTTACTTATAAAAAGTGAACAAATCACAAGCAACACAGCACTCCTATTTTACAGCGGCTAAAGCCGGATGGCTCCGCCCCAGGGCCCACCGCACCTCGGGGGGCAGCAGCCTCCGGTTCTGGGGGAAGTGGAGGATGGTCTTCATCACGCGGTCTCGATCCAGCAGGCGGAGGATGTCCCCGACGCTCGGCTGTTGCCACAGAGACTTGCCCAGGCTCCGGCATGTCTTCTGATGCTCCACGGCCGCTGGGCCCCACAGCAGCACCCTAGAGCCGGTGGTCACAGAGGTGATGATGGTGCAGACCACTGTAGGCAGCTTTGTTGGGCAGCTGACATGCCGGGTGTAAGATGTTCTGTCATTTAACCCTCATTGTAACACAGGGAAAGGCAGGGGTGATGGAGGCTGGTGACCACAAGGGTGGGGGTGACACTGCTGGGGACGACGGAGGCCAGCACTTGTGGAGGGTCTGCGATGTGTCAGGCGTGAGTCTAAGTCTGTGTATTAATCCACTTAAACTGCACAAGAATCCCATAAGTGAAAATCGTTCAGTCGTGTCCGACTCTTTCCAACTCCATGGACTGTAAGGAATTCTCCAGGTCAGAATTCTGGAGTTGGTAGCTGTTCCCTGCTCCAGGGGATCTTCCCAACCCAGGGATCGAACCAGGTCTCCCGCATTGCAGGCAGATTCTTTACCAGCTGAACCACCAAGGAAGCCCAAGAATACTGGTGTAGGTAGCCTATCCCTTCCCCAGGGGGTCTTCCCCACCCAGGAATCGAACCAGGGTCTCCTGCCTTGCAGAAGGATTCTTTACCAACTGAGCTATGAGAGAAGCCCAAGAATCCCATGAGGAAGGTACTATTATCATCCATATTGGGGGAAAAGAGACACAGAGAAGATCTGGGAAGTTGGCCAGCTGGTCCCTGCCCAGCTGGTAAGTGGCAGAGTGGGATTTCAAATCTGCAGAGCCTGGGCTGGACATAGCAGCAAAATCGTGGCGGTTCGATGATGCTCTACTTATATAAACCCATCCCTGTTCCCACACGGCCGTGAGTGGACCAGCTCCACTCACACAGCCTGTGAACCACTCCCAACTCTAGGTCCCCCATCTCCACTTTTCATACCACCGGTCACGATGGGAACTGCCCAGTGAGGTCACCTTGCCTTCCTCCTGGAAAGGGACTGAACCCATCTGCACCGGGGGGGCATCCTTGTGAACTTCGTGAGCCCTGAGAGGGGTTTTCTGATGCCGAGGCTGGGGTGGGTGGATGGCTCGCTCGTCAGCCTGAGTGAAACCGCTCCTGGTTTCTCTCCTCTCCCTCACGTACCCAGGGGCTGTTTATTCCAGAAAGAATACAACTGATAAAGCACCAACTCCAAGGCTAGCAAGAGGGTGAGGCCGTGGGGTGGGGGGAAGGAAAGAAAATGTTTATTCACAACCTGGGTGCTCTGAAGATGGAGAATAGGGGTTTTTTGTTTTTTTACTGTTTGTTGTCTTTTTCTTGGGGGATGGACAGTGCGGGTGGTTACTACGTCTTAAATCTTAAAAAAAAAAATATTCTAGAAGGGAAATATTTTTTTCTCTTCCCTGCAGAGTTGTCCTGAACTATTTTTCTTGGCCCAGTCAGCTAACTTCCTGTCTCAGTACACAGAGCTCTTCCTTTGTACTGGGTCTCAAAAAGGAGACAAGAAACCAGGGCAGCGAAAGAGGACCTCAGACGCTGTCAGCAGCTGAGCCCCGGGCCCTGCGGAGCGGGCCCCAAAGCTGTGCTGGCCGAGGAGCAAGCAGCCCCTGGGAACTCGGGAGGGAGACAGACACAGACAGACAGACACAGAGAAAGACCGACAGAAAAGAGACAGACAGCGCACACGTGCACACATGTGCACGGGGAGAGAATGGAATAAACACCCCGCCCGCACGCCCCACTCCTCCTGCAAACCCGTACCCAAGTCCCTCCCACCCAAAGGCCAGCACGAAGTGAAACGTTTTCAGAAAAATCAGCTAAACGATCCCCGAGCTGAGAGTAAATCTGAGGGTGGGCCTGTGATAGACACGCACAGTCGACCAGCAGGGCGCCCGGCGCACACAAGCCCGGCCGTCAGGGACCATCCTCATGGGCAGAGGGCAGAGCAGGCCCACTGGCGCTGGGGTGCGAGCGGAGGGGTCCCCCGCCCGTGTTCACCCCCCGAGGCCGGCCCGGGCGTGCGGTGCCCCGTGCAGGGCCTTCGGGGTCCGCTGCTCGCCTGGCCAGCGGCACCCACCTGAAGCTGATGAGGCTGTGGCTGTTCTGTTCGTACGCCCGCAGCAGCAGTAAGATCTTCTGGTCTGAAGCCAGAGAGGGTCAGCTTAGAAATCTTGCTGGTGACACCCCTTGGGGCCTCTCATATAATCCTGGCCACACCGGCTGGTGCCCATACCCCAGAGACATACCCCCTGGTCCCCGCAGACCCAGGTCACACCGCCCGGTCCTCACATTCCTGGGTCCCATGCCCTGGTCCCCACACCCTCCTGGATCCCATGCCCTGGTCCCCACAACTCACCCAGGATGCTGAGTGAGGCACCGTAGGCCCCAAGGAGCACCGCAAAGTGGCTGCTTGCACAGACAGAGGGGCACAGCTGCACCACGCCCGCCATCAGGTCCACCAGCGCTTCTGAAAGAAAATGCCGCTGAGCTGCCCGCAGTGCAGGGCCGAGCAGGCGCAGAGTCCCCGCAGAGGACGACGTGCTTCTGGGAACATAAATGCTGGAGACACCTTCTCTGGACAACACTGGGCTGAGAACTGCACCTAGTCCTTCCCTAAGTTTCCATTTTTTTTCCCCCAAATAAAAGTGCCTTGACAACCATCTCCCTTCCTCGGTCTTTGGTACCATCATCTCCTCAGTCTCCTCCCAAACTTTGAGCCAACAGATTTGAAAACCTAAACCTTCCTCTCCATGATTATGTTACTGAAATCTCTAGTATTTCCATTCTTGCTGGAAAAGGGGGACAGCCTTTTTACTTTTAGAAAAGGCAGAGGAACCAGAGATCAAATTGCCAACATCCACTGGATTATCAAAAAAGCAAGAGAGTTCCAGAAAAACATCTATTTCTGCTTTATTGACTATGCCAAAGCCTTTGACTGTGTGGACCACCAAAAACTGTGGAAATTCTGAAAGAGATGGGAATACCAGACCACCTGACATGCCTCTTGAGAAATCTATATGCAGGTCAGGAAGCAACAGTTAGAACTGGACATGGAACAACAGACTGGTTCCAAACAGGAAAAGGAGTACGTCAAGGCTGTATATTGTCACCCTGCTTATTTAACTTATATGCACAGTACATCATGAGAAACGCTGGGCTGGATGAGGCACAAGCTGGAATCAAGATCGCTGGGAGAAATATCAATAACCTCAGATATGCAGATGACACCACCCTTATGGCAGAAAGTGAAGAAGAACTCAAGAGCCTCTTGATGAAAGTGAAAGAGGAGAGTGGAAAAAGTTGGCTTAAAACTCAACATTCAGAAAACTAAGATCATGGCATCTGGTCCCATTGCTTCATGGCAAATAGATGGGGAACAATGGAAACAGTGACAGACTTTTTTGGGCTCCAAAATCACTGCAGATGGTGACTGCAGCCATGAAATTAAAAGACACTTGCTCCCTGGAAGAAAAGTTATGACCAACGTAGACAGCATATTAAAAAGCAGAGACATTACTTTGCCAACAAAAGTCCGTCTAGTCAAGACTATGGTTTTTCCAGTCGTCATGTAGGGATGTGAGAGTTGGACTGTGAAGAAAGCTGAGCGCCAAAGATTTGATGCTTTTGAACTTGATGTTGGAGAAGACTTTTGAGAGTTCCTTGGACAGCAAGGAGATCCAACCAGACTGATCCTAAAGGAAATCAGCCCTGAATATTCATTGGAAGGACTGATGCTGAAGCTGAAATTCCAATACTTTGGCCACCTGATGCAAAGAACTGCCTCACTGGAGAAGATCCTGATGCTGGGAAAAACTGAAGGCGGGAGGAGAAGGGGACGACAGAGGATGAGATGGTTGGATGGCATCACTGACTCAATGGACATGAGTTTGAGTAAACTCCGGGAGTTGGTGATGGACAGGGAGGCCTGGCGTGCTGCAGTTCATGGGGTCACAAAGAGTTGGACACGACTGAGTGACTGAACTGAACTGAACTGACCATACTAGGAACTTGGGTAATGGTTCTCTCCAATTCAACAGTTTATTACAATTGGCTCTGTAGCGATCTCTCACAGTTTGCGGATGTCAGCTCGTCTCTAAACAACAGGGTGTGACTTCAGGGGGACAGGACCCTTCAGACCTCTGCCATCTCCCACAGCCTTCACCATGCAAAGTAGGCATTCAGTGAACTAGAGAGGAAGGAGCCAAAGCCGGGGCTGTAAGAGGCCCTGGCGGGGACCCAGCAATGGTGACCTTCAAACCCTTTGCCCTTGATCAACTTTTCAGTCAGACATCTCACGCAACTGAACAATTTCTCCCAGGTCAGACACCCCCTCCTAACTTTCCATAACTCCCAGGTTTTAACACTCGCCTATGATATGGCAGAAGACCTTAAACCTGATTCCTATAAGCCAGAATAGGCTCTAAAAAGAGGTGTGCATTTGCTATGTGACCTGAAGTCAGAGGAAACACTTCTAGAGCTTGAATCTGACAGAAACGAAGTGTCCCGCATCTCCTGCATCGGTGGCTGGATCTTTATCACTGAGCCACCCGGGGAGCCCACAGGAAATGTTCGGACGCTGCCTGGGTGCGCTTCCTCAGCTCTGGGAACACGGGGGCGCTGAGCTCCACCGCACAGCTAGCTTGGTGGAATCGGAAGAGAAACTGTGTGTCTGGGCTGGGGCGTGGGGCGGGCAGGCACCTCGCACGGGGCTGTCTGCGGGCTCCTCCTCTGCGGCCCGCAGCAGGGTGGGCAGGAACAGGGAGTGCTGGGTGAGCATCATGTGGACCACGGGGAGCTGTGTCAGCTGCGAGCGCGTGGGGCTTTCCGGGAGGTACAAGAGCTGCATGGCGGCTCCGAGGGCTTCCAGAAACGCATGGTCCTGATACCGAAACCTAGGAGGCAGGAACCAAAGAGGAAACGACGTCACAACCTGTAAGAAACCTTTTTTGCTCAGCACTTTATTAAGGAGATCATCCTGCGTGCCTCAAAGCTGAGAATTCTAGAGCGCACAGTCATCCACCATCACCCTGACTACCCATTGCACACTGAGCCAGACGTGTCACAGGGAGCGCTTCTGAAAGCAAGGGCCAGACGGAGCTTGCTCGCCTTCTTGATGGTGCAAACGCCCAGTGAACTTCCTGCTGAGCTGAGCAGACTGAATAAAGATGATGCTCAGCCCACCTTCCCGGGCAGCCTCCTTCCTTCCTTCCAGCTCCTCAAAACGCCCCTCTGACGGCTCAGAAGTTCTCATCTTAAATCCCTTCAGAACCAATGAAGGAAATGCTAGCATCATGCTCTGGGAAAGAAGGTTTTGGTCATATGTGAATGTTGTTAAGAAGCACTGGGCACTTCGTGAGCATTCTAGAGACACAGACTAACCAAAGACTCAAACAAATGTCGTCAGGTCGTGAAGGCAATCCTCAGTTACCATTAACTTCTGACCTGCTTCCACTCATTTTCTTCTTAGTGTTTTTCCGTTCAGATCGATGAATAATCAGGGAAATGAAAATTAGAGCCACAGTGAGACACTTGTTTCATGACCACCTGAGTGCCAAAAAGAAAGTTTGACTGCATCAACTGCTGGGGAGGACGTGAGGACAAAATGAACTTCCACTCTGTGTTATGACAGCACGAAAACCTTGGGGAACAAATGGAAAAATCTAGTAAAGCTGAAGCCGTGCCCACACTAAGAGCCAGTGAGTGCCCCCTTGCCCAGAAAAACCTGGCACCTGGGCACAAGGAGGCATGAGACATTCACTGTCAGGACGGGAGGGAGGAGGGGAAGAGAGAGGGGAGGCTCCGTCCATCAGCAGGGGACCAACTAAATGAATGGGGCACAGTCAGAAGACAGAATGCCCCCGGGCAGTGGAAAGGAATGACCGGGATCATCTCCACCTACCGAGGGTCTCAACAAGGGTCACTCGAAAACTTCTGAGTGCACAAAAGGGACGGTAAATTGATACTCTGTATACAATGTCAAACACAAAAAACACTGCGTTTTATTGTCTAGAGATATACTGACACGCAACCAAAGTTTTAAAAACACACACAGTGCCATGACAAAGCTCAGCCTCAGAAGAACGACACTTGGACGAGGGCGGAAGAGTCCATGAGGACAGAGAAAACTGTCAGCCTTTATTAGATCTGGGTGCTACTGTATTACTCTCTGCACACCTCTGGCTTTTAAAAAACTACTTGGTTGTTTCAAGGCTGCTTCTCCCGCCCTTGTTAGAAGCACACGCATAACACGGGGCGGGTCGTCTCCCTCCCCAGCACTGTCTCGTCTGCCCAATAGAGGAGCAGCACCAGCCCCACCACCTCCCTTCTGCAATACCAGCTCCGACTGCACCCCAGCCAGGACACCCACTGCCTTCCTGAGCCGCACCAAGAAAGCAAACTTGACTTACTTGAGTCCGGTCTTCACAAATTTCTGCCAATCACCAGCGTCAACTTCATTAAGTGAATTCTAGGAATAAAGTAAGTGAGAAATATGTGTAGAATATCTGAATTAATTTAAAATAGAGGACATGGGATTTAAACTACAGCCCTTCAGTAAATACAGAATATAGTTACTGAAGCAATTTGCAGAAGCAAGCAGTCCTTTTCTCCTTTGATTTTTTTAAATTGTTATTTCCACTAGTAGCTGGTCACCAATGACCAAAAGGAAATTCCCGAACAGTCCTGTAACTTCCCCTTTGTCCCCCATTCCGAACAGCACTGACTGATTCACAGCACACACATGGGTGTAGCCACATGTGACTGCTTAAACACAAGAGTGAACATCCACCCAGGGCAAGACCACTGCACCCTAACAGGCCTGTCACAGGTCCACAGTCCCTGCCATGGAGACAGTCTCCGAACAGGCTCTGTTATGTTACATCAGGAGACTGGCTGCTCTGGGGGGGGGGGGAAGGGGGCAGACCAGGAAAAAGCACGAGAGAGCTTTCTGGAATGATGACAGTCCTGGGTAGGACTCTGGGGCACAGGGGTGTGTATTTGCCAACAGTAAGCTACACACTTACGATCTTATATTGCACAAGATGGAAGTCACACGTCGATTACAAGTAAAGGTCTACTGGGGATGCTACTGATAGTGGGGTGGCTGTGCATGTGTGGGGGTGGGGGCACCCAGGAACTCTGTACTTCCTGTTCAATGGTGCTGTGAACCTAACTCTGCTCTAAAAAATTTTAGTCTATTAAAAAGGAGCGGGGGGAGGAGAGCAAAGCCTGGGGGAGGGAGGGAGGCATGCCCTGAGAACACAAATCTCTACAACAGCACCGCCCCGCACTCCCGCCTCCCGAGCTCGGCTCCTTCTAGGTCTCGGGACTGCTCCTCCTCGCCCCTAGTTCTGCCGTGTTGGGTTCCAATGTGTCATAGGTTCACAGTCCTGTAACACTAGGCAGTAAGTCTGAAATGCAGGTTATAAACTCCAATACCTTGGCCACCTGATGAGAAGAACTGACTCATTGGAAAAGACCCTGATGCTGGGAAACATTGAAGGCAGGAGGAGAAGGGGACGACAGAGGATGAGATGGTTGGATGGCATCACTGACTCTGTGGAGATGAGTTTGAGTAAATTCCGGGAGTTGGTGATGGACAAGGAGGCCTGGCGTGCTGCCATCCATGGGGTCACAAAGAGTTGGACACGACTGAACTGAACTGAACTGAAAGTCCTTTAACAGAACTACTCAGGCACTGCACCATGATCCACAACCTATGAATGTATTATCACACTTAAAACCTTCCACCTGGGACTCTTCTCCTGAGGATTCCTTTTTAAGTCTTGGGTTCAACGGTGACACACCAGTAATAGGCTCTACAACTTTTAACACAACTTTACACCATTCAGTTCAGTCGATCAGTCGTGTCCAATTTTTTGTGACCCCATGGACTGTAGCACGCCAGGCCTCTCTGTCCATCACCAACTCCCAGAGTTTACTCAAACTCATGTCCATCGAGTTGGTGATGCCATCCAAACATCTCATCCTCTGTCGTCCCCCTCTCCTCCTGCCTTCAATTTTTCCCAGCATCAGGGTCTTTTCCAGTGACTCAGTTCTTTGCATCAGGTGGCCAAAGTATTGGAGCTTCAGCTTCAGCATCAGTCCTTCCAATGAATATTCAGGACTAATTTCCCTTAAGATAGACTGGTTGGATCTTCTTGCTGTCCAAGGGACTCTTAAGAATCTTATTCAACAACACAATTCAAAAGCATCAATTCTTTGGCGCTCAGCTTTTTTTCTTTCCAACTCTCACATCCATACGTGATACTGGGAAAACCATAGTCTTGACTAGACGGACCTTTGTTTACACCATGCGTTGAGGAAGAACTCACGCACTAGCCTTCGGGATGTTATTTCTGTGCAAAAATGTAACACTAAGAATGACAGAGAGTGAAGGCCTGAAACAGCTAAATAGTTCCAAATTTTATGAAAACTCTAAACTCACAAAGCCAGGAAGCTCATTGAAACCCAAAGCACTGAGAACCTGAAGAAAATTACACTAAGGCGTATCGTCATCAAATTGTTTAAGCTGTGTAAGGGAAAAAACGTCCTCAAAGAAGCTGGGGGGCAAAGTTGTCATGTACAGAGAAACACAGGTAAGAAGGTGAGGTCTCTGGACTTCCCTGATGGTCCTGTGATTAAGAATCCGTCTGTCGCTGCAGGGATCACGGGCTCGATCCCTGGTCTGGGGAGATACACGCGCTGCAAGGCCTGAGCACCTCAGCGACCGAGCCTGCAAGTCAAGAGTCCTGAGCCCTCGAGCCCACGCTCTGCAACAAGAGCAGCCACTGCGGCAAGGAGCTTGTGACCCGAGACTAGAGAGCGGCCCCCACTCACCGCCACGACAGCAAAAACCTGTGCGCAGCAACAAAGACCCAGCGCAGCCAATAAATGATTCACTTTTTTAAACGACAGGCTTCTCGTCAGAAATAACGCACACCAGAAGACAGTAAAGCAATGCCTTTAAAATGCCTAGAAAAACTAAAAACTGTTAACCTGGAACCTTGTACCCAGGGAAATTCTTCCTAACTCATTCTGAGGCCACTATTGTGCTGGGTTGCTCAGTCGTGTCCAACTCTGTGACCCCGTGGACTGTAGCCTGCCAGGCTCCTCTGTCCATGGGGATTCTCCAGGCAAAAATACTGGAGTGGGTTGCCATGCCCTCCTCCAGGGGCTCTTCCCAACCCGGGGATTGAACCGAGGTCTCCAGCACTGCAGGCTGCTATTAGCTGATCTGAAAGCTAGACAAGAATGTTACAAGAAAATAAAATTTTAAGCTTATACCCTTCATGGACAGATACACAAAAATTCTTAATAAAATATCAGCAAATCAAACCCAAGAGTACATAAAAATGGTAATATATCATGACTAAGTTTAACTTAGGAATGCAAGGTTGGTTTAATGTTAAAAAAGCAATTAATATAATTCATCTTATTAACAGTCTAATACAAAACCAGATAGCCATCTCAGGAGGTACAACAAAAAAGCATTTTGACAAATCTCTACATCCATTTCTGACAAAAGATGGCTCATCATTTCAGAATTTGCTGTCCACCTGTCCTTTGCCTCTGAGACATGGCCCCTCTTATTCCCTGCTAGGTTAAACTCATGCCCCTAGCTTAAATGTATCTGTAAACCTCAGTTTGTCTATCTCCCTCCTTCCCTTGTGAATCTAACCAGGGTCTCTAATAAGAGACACTTACCAACAGTTCGTTTAACCTCAGCAGCATTTGCTTCTCCTGATTCTGGGTACCATCCTCCTGCTGGCCGCCACTGAAGGATGCAATCAGCCACTGCACACAGGCCTTTAGTAGAGTCTTTTTCCAGGCTTGCAGCTCTTCTGCTGACCCTTCCAGGACAGCTGAGATGGCGTCAGCCACGACCCAGCTGCAGCAGGAGAAAAAAGTCCAAAGTTCGAGGCTTTCAGTATAACCCAACATCACAACGGGCCACAGAAGACAAACACCCTGAGTCCCGGTCCCTACAACTAACTCCCCAAGCTCAGAAATCAGAGGCTTCACCTGCTCCTTAGTCAAACTTCAGAGGTGTACCAGAACTTTATGACAAGGAGAAATACTACTAACACACCAGAAAAAGGATATATTGCCCAGACTCTGTCTAATCAGGCTATCTCACCCTCAGCACTATTGACATGTGGGGCCAGATAATTATTTCTCTCTTTCGTGGGGAGGGCCTATCCTATGCATTAAAGGATATGTAGCTGTACCTTTGACCTCTATCCTCTGGAAGCCAGAAGCTAGACTCCCCAGTCCCATATCGTAACAATAAAAAAATATCAGACATTGCCAACTGCCCCTGGAGTGGGCAAAATCACCCCGATAGAGGACCACGGCTCTAAGGGACTCAGAACCACCCACTTATGGACATGGACTTGCTCCAGCCAGGATGCTGTTAAGACGGGTTCTCGGAGGAACTGTCTCCTCACTGGCTGACACAACCGCAGGGCAGTAATCGTCACAGTTTCGTAAGCACCACAGGGAAGGGGAAGCTGGGATGGGAAGGGCCATCAGACCGGTCTGAGCTTTCATACCTCGTGTGACTGGCTGGAGTCTGCAGCAACCTGGGCAAGCGGTCCATGAGGGCACGCAGGTCCTTGGCTCTGGCAAATGGGACCAGCTGGGCCAGGATCTGCTGTGGCAGCCCGGACTCTGAGGGCCCGTCGGCGCTGAGAAGCCTGGTCTGCAGCGGCGTCCACAGGGCCTTCCTCAAGACAGGAATGACAGCAGACGAAGCTGGGGCAGAGACGAACGGGAGGGGGGTCAGACGCCACGGCCCTCGCCCTGGGCGAGGTCACACTGGTGGCTCGAGATGGGACCCTGGCAAGTTCTGATGCCATGGAAATTGACAAATGCTGCACATCAGTCTCCCCTGAGAGCCGGATGTTAAAACGTTCAGCAGCACGCCACTGGCCACCTGTCACCACTCAGCCCTCGCAGGGACTGTTCAGCCCTGTGGGCCCCAGCTCAGAGGTCATGACGAGATGGTGAGCACCCAAGTCCTGAACTCACTCGGGAACAGGAGAGGGGCAGGGAGAACTGCAGGCCGTACGAGTGGAGGGCCTCTTACTTTGTAAGAACGTTTTTTGTCATCATTGATGATATCACGCTGCACAGCACGGAGGCACAGCAGTGAGCGAAATGCCATTCATACATACTGATAAAAAGGGATTAAACCGGGGTGATCAGAAAGTGCCTGAATCTGAGACCCGATGGGGGAGGAGAGCGAACCGGGCTCCGCTGAATGGCTCCGCTCAGCAGGCTCAACCAATGTGCTGGACAGTGGGGAAAGGGGCAAAGGACCGTGACCCAAGCAATTCCCTCTCCCCCTAGTGAGACCCAGATGGAGCTGCTCCTTCCTCGGCCCCCCAGCGACCACAGCCACTGCCCCAGCTTCCTCTGGGTAACTCGGAGTCGACTCGGGAGCTGGGGCGGACACCAGGGGGAAACAGAGCTAAATCAAACCCTGGAACGTGATGCTCCAGGGCTTAAGGATGGACACACGGGGAGGGATACGGCCCTCCCGGCGGCCCCCAGCCGTCCCTTCCCGTACCTCCTGCAGGGCGTGTGAAGCATCCTTGCGTCCTGCCCTGCAGGTACACGTGGACGATGGGGAGGAAGTCGTCTGGGGCCTCCCGCAGGCGGAGTCCGGAGCCAGCCTGCCTGCACCAGCGCTCGAAGTGCAGCTGGTGGGGCCAGCTGTGCCGCAGGAGCAGGGCGGCCACGGCCAGGGCTGCCGGCGTCCGCCGCTCCAGGCAGTCATCGAGCAGGGTCAGCCCGACCGCGGGGACCAGTGCCGGCTCTCTCTGCAGAGCCCCGAGGAGCACGGCGTCCAGCTCGGCCACGGCCAGCGCGGGCAGCAGAGCTGCCAGGCCCCGCGCGTACTCAGAGGCCCAGAGGAGCTCCCCGCTCCGCAGCTGCTCCTGGGCGCGGCCGCTCAGCAGCTGGACCAGGGTCCTCCCGAGGGCGGTCAGCGGTCTCTCCTTCCGGGGGGGCTGGGTGGGTCGCTGGGTCGCCAGGCAGGCCTCAGGCAGGCTCAGCAGGGCCAGGGTGACCTCCCGGAGCAGGGCGTCCTCCATGTAGGGGTGCAGCCCCCGCAGCGCCTCGAGCAGAGGGAGGAGGGTCTTCGGCATCGGCATGGCCAAGCCGGCCCTTGGGCTGCGCAGCTCACGGAGGATGCTCTGGGTGACGGCCTCCGAGTACCTGGCCAGCAGCCCCAGCTGACCAAGGCTCCGCAGGGCCGGGGCACTGGCCACCAGCAGCGGAAGGATTCCCGAGCTGAGGCTGGCCGCCAGGAGCTTCACGAGGACCGGGCTGAGGGCGTGCGGCGGGAGGGCCTGCCGCTCCAGGGCCAGGAACCAGCCCTCCAGCGTGGGGTGCCTGAGGACGGCCACCAGCACCTCCTCCAGCGTCTGGAACACAGCCACAGGGCAGAGGCCTCAGCCACCCCCGGCCTCAAGCTCGAGCTCCCCTGCCCACAGCACCCCAACCCAGACCCAGGCTGAATGGAGAAACTGTGCAGAGAGACTGCTCTCCACGGCCACTTAGGCTGGCCGGGGCCACGCAGAAATGCCGAAATGCGACTACGACCCATCGTCTCCTGGTTTCTCCCTAGCAGCTCTGCCCTCCTAAATTAATCTGGGCAAGGGACGCAGGTACCACCTGACCACAGGGGCAGGGTGGCCTCCGCTGAGAAGAGATTCTGTGGCTGAGGGAGGTGGGCAGGGCTTACACGGGCCAGAACTGAAGGTGAGCCTGCGTCCGCTCTCAGGAGGAGACCAGGCCCTCAGGGAACAAAGTCTGACCCCAAGACTGGTTGAAACCACTGCGCAGAAAGCAGCTGAGCGCACTCTGCTGCGTCAGAGCTGGGTCTGATTCAGCCCTGCTGACACGGTTCACAGCCAAGGAGGCCACCCAGTCCCTGGGGACAGAAATCTATTTTTCTCCTTATTTACTCTTCAGGGAAGGGAAAGGGAGCCTATGAATTTGCCATCTGAGCTTTCCCAAGTGAAAACAGAAAAGCACAGATTAGGAGTGCTGTGCCTGACGACTGGCTAACAGGTGGTCCTGCGACCTCACCCCCACCCCACCCCAAAGCCCCCACGAAGACCAAAGCAAGGGCGCCTGACATCTGACTCTGAAACGAGGAGCACGCCTGCTTCCTGAACCCAGTACAACATCTCAAATGGCAAAGGGTGCGAAAGACTTGGTTGGGCCTTAGGTAAGCAGCTGATTGCCAAGCCAGCAACAAGAGAAGGAGGCTCACTCTTCTCGGGCACAGTGGTCGCTGGAAGTGTTCATGATGGAGGGCTGCATCCCTGCCCAGCCTTTACTCAATATAGGCCACAACCCTTTACAAGGAAAAGATGCAGGCTGAGTTCTCAGGATGCTTGGGGCGCAAAGTGGGAGGGAAAAGTGTTCACAGAAGGGGAGTGTGAGCTCCCAAAGTGAACGTGCTTCTCTCGGGGTGGGGGTGGGGGTGGTGTTTGGTATCTCCTCTAGTGGCCTCTGCTTTTCCCTGCTTCCCTGCGGTGAACAGGCACTAGCTTCCAACCAGAAATGGAGGGAAAACCAGTGTCTATAACCTCCCAAGAGAAGGCCAACAGAAAGGGGGAAGAAGGGCGGCCATACCTTGTCGCTGGCCAGCTCCAGCGAGGCCATGGACTCCATGTCAACAAAGAGGTGGGACTCGGCCTGGGCAGCCTGGCACTTCTGCGGGCTCTGGGCGACCAGCTGCTGGCAGTGGATGACCAGGCGCCGGAGGAGACCCAGGAGCAGCTGCAGCAGGGCTGGCCCCGCACTCCGGCCCAGCTGTGAGGCAAGACGCACGACCCTCAGGCCTGGAGGGGCCAACGGTCACCGCCAGGTCCCCCGGGGCAGAGTGGGCAACGCTGCCAGGAACCAGGGTCAAAGAGGGGGCCGGGGCTCAAGCAGCAACACCGACAACATCAAAGTCGTGTCTCGACAGGACGGGTGTGTTCAGTCACTCAGTCGTGCCCGACTCTTTGCGACCCCCTGGACTGTGGCCCGCCGGGCTCCTCTGTCCTGGGATTCTCCAGGCAAGAGTACCGGAGTGGGCTGCCATGACCTCCTCCAGGGGATCTTTCTGACCCAGGGATCAAATCTGCGTCTCCTGAATTGGCAAGCAGTTCTTGACCACTAGCACCACCTGGGAAGCCGTCTTAATTAAGACGTGTTCTCCTAAATCTTGATGAAACACATAGGTTTGTTTTGACCAAGATGAAGGGGAAAGGCCCACCCCAAAACCTAAGCTAAAACTCCGGTAAACCACCTCAGGGAAAGAACGCTCAACGAGCCACCAAATTTAAACTCATGAAGGAAGACGGGAGGCCTGGCCGTGATGCTGACCTGGTCAGCCACGGGCAGGGCCCTGTCCTGACCCATCGCTGCCTGGCTGACCAAGTTCAGCTATACTGGGCTCCCCGTCTTGAGATCTAGATCTCTGCTGCAGGGAAAAGGGAGTCAGACCAGCCACCCAGGTGGCTACAGGCCCGACCTACAGGCCCGCCCGGGGCCCTGCGCACTGGCCACCACCCTCCCCACATGCAGAGCAAGCAGGGCAACAGCAGGCCCCGGGACGCTCCCCACTCGACTATTAATTCAGACCCGATCGGCGGAAGCCACACTCGCTGTGGGCGGCGGTAGAGGGGACCGGGGCAGCGCTGACCTGGGCGAAGTTCTCCACGGCGCTCCTGACGTACAGCAGCAGGTGTTTGGCGGCGCGCAGGGCCTGGTGCATCGGGAGGCGCAGGAGGGCGGCCCGCAGCTGCGCCTGAACCCCCTCGTCCAGAAGTGGGAGCCCGCCCGGGCCCTGGCCTTGGTCCTGACTGGCGTAGGCTGTCTGCAGCAGGGAGGAGAAGGAGGGGGCCGCGGGGCCCGGCGGGGCAGGGCTGCCCGAAGTCTGCAGTGGCTGGGGGGCAGCAGAGGCGAGAAGGGCAGATGGATCAGCACGGGTGACATGCATGACAGCTGGGTGCTTCACAGAAAGTCACCCACTGATGCTGAAAACCACGTGACCCCATCAAGTCCAATGCGCTCGGTCATACGTGTTTTATCCTAGCGTGTGTTCACGTGAGGGCGCTGGGTCGGGGAGGTTATTTACACGCCCTGGAGAACCGGAGCCGCCCAGGACAAAGTCAGGACTTCACTCAAACGGGAGTCACTGTGATCGATCCCTGCAGACTGGGCAACCCCGCCCTGGGAAGGTGCCAGCTCAGTGAGCGGCAGACCTTTCGAAGGCCTCCCCCGGAAGGATGGGACGACCGGGACTGCATGGAAGACGGATTCCTGCAACCAGCCTGTCTCAAGGGGGTTCATTTCTTCTAACTTCATTCCCAACTGCCATCTTTACTCACCCCACGTGGCCTGTACTGTTATCCCTCCAAACACTCCGCTTTCTAAGGCCAACACAACTAGGCTACGTGAGCTAGGACTCAGTGGGGCTGGAGGTGGGGTCCCTGGGCCGGCAGCAGCATGAACCAGGAACCTGCTAGAGATGCAGACTCCTGGGCCCGCCCAGACCTGCTGAACAGACTTGCCCCATGACTGAGCATCCAGGGACCCGCACGCGCCCTCGTGGGTGGGAATGGCCTGTGCCCGGCTCCACAGCGTGGACGCCGACCCTGGGAGCACCATGGCACAGCCCGACTGCTGAGCCACACGGAAGCCGCTCTGTGGCTCCGACCACCTCCTGACCACGGCCTGGCAGGCGGGAAGGCGGTGACGGTTGTGATGGGCCTGGGCTCCGGAGCCCGGCTGCCTGGCAAAACCCTGAGTCCCCCACTGACGGGTGCTGGAATCGCTCTGCACCTCGGTTTCCCCATGTGTACGACGAGGACAGGACAGTAAGTCTTGACCTTCTCTGAGTGCTGAGGGTTAAGTGGCGGAAAAGACACATACTGCCCTTAGGGGGAGGCCCTGACAAACAGTGAACACGCAATCAACTTGAGCTACTGCTACCAAGCCCGTGAGGCAGGGAGTCCCGAGCTGCTTGCGTTTTTAAGTGCAGCCCCAACTGAATGAAAACACAAAAATGCACACGCCGAGTGACCTTCCTGCCCTGCTCAGCAATCCTAAGTACCCTGCGTCAGAGCCAGACCTGCAGCAGCCCTTTTAACAACTTATTGACCACCGACATATTAATTCTTCTTTCATTACCCGAATGTTATTGAGTGGAGTTATTTCAATATTCACTTACATAACAAATGGCCAGCCATACTTGTTAATTTCTGCAAAAAGCTCCTGGTCAATAATGTGCTAAGAATGCAGTCCTCACCAAGAGAAAATGGGTTTCCTTCTTTCTGTTTTCGCTCTCCCAGTTTTAGCAGAACGTAGGCAGCTGGCGGCCTTCAGGGCCCAGGTCTGACTGCTGGGCACGCCGGGTCTAGGGGTGCTGGGGTTTCTGGACAAGGGCCACAAGGCCAGTGGGCACAGACCGTGCAGAAAGGGAGAAGGGACCCCTAACCCCAGTCACGCAGCCAGCGGCAATTCCAATTCTGCCGCACCACTGACCCCTCTGAATCTCGACTCGTCAGCTGACCACCACTGTGCTTCCTCTTCCAACCAAGGAAAATGAGAAGGTGAAGAAAGTTCACCCCGTGAGCTACACAGCTGCGGTACAGGCTGCTGCGGCCCACAGGCAGGGGCCTCTGGGGTTTCCCAGGGAAAGGAAGGCCTGGTTTCCACAGGGTCGCTGCGGCTCACCAGGGCCTTGCGGGCTGGCTCTGGGATCCAGAGGCTGTAGTATCTGTTGAACTGGGACAGCCGGCGGCGGCAAGGCAGGCTCGGAGGCGTCAACTGGTCGTAAGACTGAAGCAGAAGACACAGGGCCAGCGGGTCTCTCTGGGTGTGGAGCAGGTCTGTGAGAACCCTGGTCAGATATGCCACGATGCTCTCTCCTGTGTGGGAGAGAGGAGCTTGCTGGGACCATCAGTTACCCCAACTCCCACACGAATTCGAGGCCCAGAAAGATTCATCACGACTCTAAGGAATCACACAACCTCACTGGAAGGCGAAGCTACCACTGCAGACCACACCAGACTTTTATGTAAACATACAGCACACAGTCAGGCTGCAGGTGCGGAGGCCCAGAAGTGGCAGACCCAGGACTGGAAGAGGTGAAGCCAAGGCCTCCGGGATCTGCTTGATGCTAACCTAGCCGCTTCCTCTCTTCCTCGGCACACGGCCTCCTCCTGCAGTCAGGCGGGGACCCCACGACCGGCTCAGCCACTGCCGGGCCTGGCCAGAGCACCCCGTGGGACTGTCCACTCTCTTCCCCTTCCACAGGCACTCTGGGCGCCATATGTTGAGACGGCACAGATAGTAAGATGGGAGCAGCTGTGATCTCCTGGACAACAACCACCCAGGAGAGCACCTGACCTGGACAAGGTCAAGCAAGAGACCCTTCGTCCCTAAACCACTGACGCGTTGGGACGTATCTGCTACTGCAGCAAATCCCGAACGACCCTGACTAAATGACGCCACTGATCGGTGAGCGCTTCTCTGGTCTGTGTTTCCTGGACGCCCAGGAAGGACTGGTCCCTCAGCATCACGTGTGTGTTCGCTGATCAGTCGCGTCTGACTCTTTGTGACCCCGTGGACTGCAGCCCTCCAGGATCCTCCGTCCACGGGATTCTCCAGGCAAGAGTACTGGAGTGGGCTGCCATGCCCTCCTCCAGGGGGTCTTCCCGACCCAGGGACCAAACCTGGGTCTCCTGCATTGGCAGACGGGTTCTTTACCATCTGGGGCGCCAGGGCAGCGCTCAGCATCAAGATGACCATGAATAAACACCAAAGAGAAAGCACTGGCGTGACAGCAGGTGTCACAGCCCCGCAAACACGCACCTTCAGGCTCGGCTGTCAGAGGACCCGCCTCGCCGACCGCCGCGTCGGCCTGCAGACCCCATTCCTGCTCCCTGAGCTCTCTCCCGCGGGGCCGCTCTCACTGTGGCGGGTCTGAGCCCTCGCTGCCTTGTGCTTGCAGCGATTATTTCCAGAGCCCCTGGAAGCCCAGCTCCTACCCCCCAGAGACCCAGCTGGCCTGACGAGCCCAGAACACCCTGACCACACACGGGTACCTGCTTCGCTTGCTGTTCCAAGGAGCAGCTTATTCCTGGCCTCCAGGGCGGCGGGGACCACGGCACTGAACGGGAACGTGAGAAGGATCATGTCTTCATTCAGTACGAAGCCAACCTCCTCATCCAAGCCTTCGCTGCCCTCCACCAGCACATCCACCATGTCGAGAACATCTGAGATGGAAACGGGGAATCAGGCCCAGGTGAAGAGGCACTGAAGGTTCCTACTGCAGGACGCCCCCAGGGAAGGCACGAGAGAGCACACTCGCACAGAGGGGAACAAAGAAAAGCTAAACTTATCTTGGGGGAAAATGCTTAATGTAATGTTTGACTCTAAACAGATATCGTATTGTCTGTAAAAATCTTCATTATCTCTGACACAATGCAGGATTTATCAGCTCAGGTGATAATGGGCTGACGTTTCCTCAGGAAACACTGAGAAAAGCCCAGAAACTGTAACCCGGATAGTCAGGGAAACAAGCCAAAATCCGAGGAGCAACAAGAGTGTAAAAAGGTTAACACACAGACTAGGGCCCGGGGTCCTGGAGGCAGCTCCTGACTTTGCTACGTACTAGCTGTGTGAGGCGGAGCAGACTGCTTAACCTCTCTGCGCCCAAACTGCCTTGTCCAAATGAGGACAACCCGCCCACTCTGCAGTCGTTTATGAGGTTACACAAGTTAGGATCTGTAAAGAGCCTAGAGCAGCACCTGGCACAGTGTAAACACTGCGCAAATGAAAATAACGCAGCCAACAAGCCCTGGACGCATTTCGTGCTGCAGAGACAAACAAGGGGATTCCCATTCCAGAGGGGGCTGATCTCCATCGCAAAGTAAGGGGACATCTGCCCTCTGCACGAGGCTTCAGAGCCATTCTGCTGTCTGTCTCTAACACACCACTGTGGCTGGCTCTTCAGAAGCCCAAGGAGTGCTGGGGAAAGGCACCTACCATCGATGTGGGAGATGGGAATGCTGGCGTCATCGGCGTCCTGCCGCATCCCGGCAGCCTGCACGGTGCTGGCTTCCTGGACGAAGTCAGACGCCTTGTCCGTGTACGAATATGGATTCGCCACCAGCGTCAGGAGGACCTGAGCATTGAAGAGTCAAGTGGGAAGTGTTTAGACAGTCACAGGTGGGATGAAAAGTGCCCTAAAGTCACAGGTGAAATAAAGGGAAGAGCAAAAGTCTTAACAGGCCTCCGTAAGAGCAATACTTTTGCTGCCAAGTTTTTAAAAAAACACTTTCTATTGTAGAGCTTTTAAAAAGTATCTCCTTTTCACACTAGACTATTGCTTTTAACACTGATTTTAGTATACCACTGTGGGCTTCCCTGGCTCAGACTGTAAAGAGTCTGCCTGTAGTGCGGAAGACCCGGGTTCAAGCCCTGGGTCAGGAAGATCCCCTGGAGAAGGAAATGGCAACCGACTCCAGTATTCTTGCCTGGAGAATCCCATGGATGGAGGAGCCTGGCAGGCTACAGCTCATGGGGTCACAAAGAGTCGGACATGACTGAGAGACTTCACTTTCACTTTAGTATACCACTAATCCCTCCTGTGTGAATGGAAGTTAAACAACACTCGGTGATATAGTCCCATTTTACAGATGCTAAAACTAAGTAGTTTCTGATGTCTCAGCAAGAATTAGGAAGTGAGCCAGGAAGACGGGCCTCTCAATCGCCTGAGAAACGCCTTAAATTCACTAAGGACCACTGAGTGCGCCGTCCTGAACGCTCCTCTACACGGGAAACAGGCGCTCACGCGTTCCAAAAACTGAATCACGGCCTCCTTGCTCTCCTCCGCCGTGCCATCCAAGTGCTCCAGCCACAGCTCCAGCTCCGGCCAGGTGTGCTCAAACACGCCCGTGTCCCGCAGGATCTGTTGGGAGGCAGACAGTGTGGGTCAGTCAGGGCGGAACCCTGCTTTCCGTGGTCTCGGGCTCCCTGTGCCCCCCGGGAAGCACACGGGGCGGAAGTTCCATCCGCCTCTCCTCCGGAAGCTATGCCTCGGAACAGCACTCCCCTCTGCCACAAGGAGAGGTGGCCCTGGGCTCCATCACCGAGAACGCAGCCCCTCGTCCTGCCACTTATTCCTTCCCTTTGACTCCTAAACGACAGAAAGGGGAAGCACCCAGCTGCCACCGGCAAGTCTGACTTTCAGCCTGGACTCGAGCCTCAGCCTGTGAGAGTCCTTAAGACAGGGCACCAGCCAGGCCGCGCCGCCTCAGCGTGGCCCCTCGGGACCCGGGCTGGGCCGGGAGCCCCGCCGTCTCTAAGGAGAGGAGAGTGTGTTTCGAGGCAGGACTTGGTGAATCGACAGCCCCATGTGGTCGGATGGATGACAGAACTCGGGGTCTCAGGAGCGCGAGCCCCACACCGAGGGAGAGGCTGGCAGGCCCCTCCACCCACATGCAGGGAGCAGTCGTGAGATCACACACCCGCACAGGCATGCAGAGGTCAGAGGTCAAGCCCCAGACGTTCACGTCCTCCAGGCAGCTCATGCGAGGTTCAAGTGCCAGCGAGACAACTGGCACTTGTATGAAGAGTGAAATCTTTGTGCCCTAAACTTTTCTCTAGTGGTTCAGATAGTTAATGAATCTGCCTGCAATGCCGGAGACCTGGGCTCGATCCTTGGGTTGGTTCAATCCCTGGGTTGGGAATGGCAACCCACTCCAGCATTCTTGCCTGGAGAATCCCTTGGATACGGGAGCCCGGCGGGCCCAAGTCCATGGGGTCGCAGAGAGTCGGACACGACTGAGCGACTAAACTACCAAACACAATGAATATGACTTTTGTAGCAACTCCCCTCTGCTGCTCAACCCCCTGACAAAGCATAACCAAGGAACTGGATTTCCTAGCACTGTAGTTAAGACCTAAACTAGCCCTGGAAAACAAGGTCAAGTGTAAGAAAGAAGAGACACCAAAAAACTCATCTCCTTCCTCTAACTTTGGTGACACCTGGGCTGTGATGATGGCCTGGGTCAAAAGGCCGAAGCCCTGGAGAGGGCTGAGTCTAGAGATGGAGGCCGAGGCCCTGCCTACTGAACTGGTGCCCAGAGGGCAGGCAATCTAATGTTTACTGAGCCCAGACTGTGCCGGGCATGGCCTACTGCTTGATCATGCATCATTTCTTCTGCAATTCTATAGCTTCGTTATTCCCATTTGCCACAGAAAAACTAAGTTCAGAGAGGTTAAGCAATGGGTCCCATGCCACTCGTGACAGGGCAGAACCAGGATTCAAAGTGCTGGCTTTCCCCATTTCACCAGGCTGCCTCTTGGGAACACAACTGGATGAAGACAGAATAAATTACAGCTGCCATAAAACCCTCTCTCCTTAAATTACATCAGTCCTAATACATTCTTATTTCAACATCTGTTGACTAAGCCCCTACTATAAGAAAGACTGTGAAATGCCTCCAGAACCAAGAACTGGTATAGAAAAGGCTCACCTTCACAATCAGAAGTTTGGTTGATGACTTGAGCTGTGAATGGACACTGGTCACAAACATTTTCATCAGTAAGTAAAATACCGATCGCTTGCCTCCGATGATTTCTGCATCTGGGCCTTCCTGGAGTTTGAATGACAGAAAGTTATAAACATAACAGAGGTCACTGCTGCTGAGCGAACAGATAAGACAGGCCCAGTCTTCTCTCCAGCCTCTCGTCTCATCTCAACCACTCCCTGGCAAGCCTGTTGGGACGTCAGACACGAGGCACCTCCGGAGTTAGCAGGCTCAGCCCCCTATCCCCCGACAGCAGCAGCAGTAACAAGAGTCACAACAGGAAGCAGAGGGCCCTTCGGGTGCTTCACAGATGCTGACTTGCTTTCTCCTCCCGACAAGCATGAGCTGGGGACGACTGTCACCCCCTTTTCACATGTGTGGACACCGAGACATAAGGAGGTAACGGGCTGTTTTAACGACTGAGGTGGGACTCGAGCCCAGGAGCCCTTGCGCAGATGCAACCCCGGCCAGAGGCTGGTGGGGAACCACAGCTACCTGACCCCACCTAACCGTACTCGCAGGATCTCAGCAAGACGCCGGAGCTGATGTAACTGGTCCCTTTATACACAATTCAGACTCTCAGAGGCTTCTGGGCCTTGAGCACATGGAGCTCCAGACCCCGCCCAGACTGTGTGTCTTCCCGGAGAGTCCCTGCAGCCCCGATCTGAGCCCATGAGGAGCTGGCATTCACAAAGTCCAGCAGACCCATATTAAAGCAAAAATAGAAGCATAGGCTATAAACTACTATGTTAATACCAGGTCTTTCAAGGTAAGAGGCCTCTCTGCTCACTTTCCAACTAAATCAGCAAGATCTCAATGGTCCGGGTCAGCTGGGATGATAAACTAAACACCCCAGATGCATCATCTCTCTGCGGTCCTGGCAGTGACTACTTCACTGGGTTGAGAGCAGGCTCTGGGCCACACTGCCCGGGTCCCATCCTGGATCCCCCAGAAGTCTCCTAACCACTCTGCCCTCCAGCTGCCTTGTCTGTGAGTGGTGGTAAAAGAGACGAACGTAGAACACTCGTGCCAAGCCTGGCGCTGAGTTCTGGATAAGGATTGTTCTCAGCGAGGACACAGGTGAGCCTTAAAGAGGGGAGAGCACAGAGGCCCCAGAGCCACAGTGTTCCTGCGCCTCTCTGGAAGTTTCACCTCCAATGGTGCCAACGTACATTCCACACTAACGGTTCCTTACAAAGGCTTACGAAGACCTGAGTCATTACAAGTCATCTGAGATACTGAGATACACCCTTATCGACAGTGCTTAATCTGACTTGGTCGTTTTCCCTCCCTGGACAGAAGCGACACAGCCGCCTGTATTTAAGTGCATGGATAAACATCTCTTGCATCCTGAGTTCCCTCTATTGGTCAACATTATGTTCTCCAGAAAGCGCTAAGAGACATCATCAAAGGCACAGAGAACAGCACCAGCGATCGCTTTTCCATCAGCCTCAGCCGTCTCCTGCTTGGGGTCTATCTCCAGCTCTGTCTTGAGTCATTCCAGGATGAGGACAAAAGAGAAGTGTATTTTGTTTCTTTCCAAAAAGGTTTTAAAAGGATCAGAAAATTGTAAAAGTCCTGGTAAAAAAAAAAACACAAAAACGCGCAGTACACGGCAACGATGCCTCTTCAGTAAGGACAGCTAAGCACGTTCATTTGCCAGAGTAAAGCGATTCCTAGCTCACAAACCAGGACCAGGCCTCCGCACCTGCACAAGGTTTCGCTCCATGAATGTCTTTCTCTGGAACTGGTGGTCCAGATTGTGCTCCAGCTAGAAATTCCCAGACAGCCGCCCCCCTGCAGGGGAACTAAGGCCGGAGGGCGGGCTCTCGGCCTCTTACCTGGGCCTTTAACCACAGAAACTTGCTGGCGGGCAGCTCCAGGGCCACCTTGAGAATGTGGTGCTGCAGAAGCGGGGGCACCTCCTCCCGCAGGCCCTCCTCTGAGATGACCCCTGTGGGCGGACAAGAGGAAAAGAGACGAGAAGTCAGGGGGAGGGGGCAGCCTGGCTACCGATGCCCCGGCCATGAGGATCCGACGAGGAACTGTTGGTGGAAACAGGCGGAAGGGCGTGGGGCTCGGCCCACCCTGTGCCCACTCTCCTGCCCACACGCCTCAAATCCCCCTGACCTGTGGTCACCCCAAACCTTTCACTCAAGAGCTGGGACGCTGCTGGGCCCAGGAAGCCCTTCCCTGCACACGGCCACACTGACCACCTCCAACAGCTGGAAGCCCCCCGGCGCATGGCCCTCCTGTCAGTGCGACCCCTGGTGGGGGACACAGGCCTTGCTCACGGCACGGCGAGCATCTCATGCTTGACCTGTGGCCACCTGTACGGAGGCGGGGTCCTCAGTGCGGTAAGTAAACGCTCAATGGCCACGTTCCAGCAAATCTCGTCTTCTCACAGCAAGAGAACTTTCTGCCTTCAAACCATCAAAAGCTTAATTGTAGCTTTTTGAATAGGACTATTTCAATAGCTTAGATAAACTCCAAGACTGATTATTTCTGCAAGTTTTCCTCCGTCGGCTCAGTTATGAAGTCAGTTTTAGTATAGAAACTTTTCCATCAAGGAAACGTGGCTGGACAAGCATGATGTTACTTCTATAAGATGTGGTTGGAACCTGACTCACTGAGTCAAATCTGAGTAACTCTGTCAGAAGTGTGTGTGCACGAACGGGACCTCCTTCTCAGGGGCTCTCATTTCTGTACCCCTCTTCCTTTGAAAAGAAGACACAGGATCAACATCACATAACCTATATGGCTTCCCAGGTGGCACTAGTGGTAAAGAACCCACTTGCCAATGCAGGAGACATAAGAGACATGGGGTTGATCCCTGGGTTGAGAAGATCCCCTGGAGGAGGCCATGGTAACCCACTCCAGTATTCTTGCCTGAGGAACCCCACGGACAGAGGAGGCTGGCGGGCTACAGCCCACGGGGCTGCAAAGAGTCAGACACGACTGAAGCGACCTAGCACGCAATCTCATCTACGATCACCCCCGGCAGGCAACTCAGCCTGGCTAGCTTCTCCCTTCTCTCTCCTGATGCTGTCAAGGGTTCATCTGCCATTTCTGTACAGAAGACCAGCACTGATCCAGGTGAAAACAACCAGGCCAGCGGATCACGCGAGCCGGCCAGACCGCCCACCCGCCTTCCTGGTCCTCTGCCCTGGGGACTCGGTTTATTTGCGGCCCCTTCACCTCCACGGGCAGGCCCAGCGGAGGGGTGCCTGCCGTCGCTCAGGACGCACCTTTCAGGAGCTTGCTGAAGTCGAAGTTGTTCTGCGCGACCACGTGCGGGACCACCTTCTGGTAGAGGCAGATGACCTGGAGCAGCACGGCTTTCAGAAGAATGGTTTCTGCGTCATCTGAATCAGAATTAAACAGTGTGAATCAGGAAACGCCCTCATTCTCTGTCCTCAATCAGTAAGCAATCCCATCACGGCCAATTGCACGCGGAACACCGAGGCTGCAGACAGGTGCCCGCGGAGCGAGATTTAGGGAGTCAACGTGGTGAAGAAGTCAAGACTGCTCAAACAGGCTGGGTCTAAATCCCCACTTCACTGCTGGGACCCTGGGCAGGGTAAAGCTACTCGGGCTCTCTGTGCTTTAGGGTCCTCATCTGAACAAGCGGGGACACAGAGCAGGGCCTAGCCCGCACAGAGCCGAGAGAAGGATTAAGCAGGACAGAGACACAAGACACAAGGCACCATGCCTCGCCAGTGCCAAGGTCTGAGCAACACATCTTACGAGCCGGGGGTAAGGTCCTACCGGCAGAACAAAAGATGTCCTACCCTGCTCCACCCTCCCCTCACCAAAGGGCCAGAGCACACAGCATCCATCATGCAAGGGTTGAGGGATGCACATGGTGCTTGCATAAAACTTGGGCACATTTCTAATAGATGTTAAAACTCAAAGGACAATGCCAGGCTCCTTCTTCTCACTAAGCCAAAAAGGACACAGGATCCTTTCAGAGTCAGAGAGGCCTTCACAAGCTCCCCAGGAGAGGAGGTTCCAGGGCTGCCCGGGCCAGGGGTGTGCCAGCCTGCCTGGGCCAGTGGTGGTGAGCCAGCCCTCACCGCTCTCAGGAGCCACACAGGGAGCAGCAGTCCTGCTGGCCTTTTTCTTTCCTTTCCCATCCTCCTGTTCTGAATCCTGCTTCCTCAGAGACTGCCAGACCCAGATGATGGCATTCAGGTCTGGTAAAATCTGAAAGGAAACAAAGAAACAACCAAAAAAATCAGTCACATGGAGAGAAGAGAAACAAAGTGATCCCACTGATGATGAGAAGCAAAGAACAGGGGAGGGGGCCAGCACGCGCGAGTGTGTAAGGGAGAGACCCTGGCCTCTGGCGGCTCTGTTCTGGGGTGTAGGTCCCCGAGCTGAGCCCGGTAAGCATCTGGTGAACACACAAGTGTGTGCTCAGGCGCTCAGTTTGTGTCCGACTCTGCGACCCCATGGACTGTCGCCCACCGAGCTCCTCCACCCGTCGGATGAAAACACAAGTACTGATCAAGAGACACCCCTAAAGACTCGCTCACCAGAGCCAATGTTGGGAACTAAGAAACTCCCGCTTAGGACCGGCTGGGGGCACCCTGCCCAGCAAGCCCGTGGACGGCTCTTCTGGGAGGTCGGCCAGGCCACGGATGCCCAGCCTCCCCGCTCATCAGACCAGGGGAGGAGGGAGCAGGCCCCAGCCCGGCCGGGGTGCAGCAGCAGGGAGGGGAGCCAAGCGGTGCGACGGCTGCTACGGAGACCAGAGGTCCCCGGGCTCCCCCACTTCCCGTCGCCTCGCCCCCACCGGCTGCAACCCCGAGCTCGTCTCTCTCGGCTGCTGTGCCCGCCGTGAGGAGAGGCCAGGCCTGGCCCCGGGCCGACCTTGCTCAGAGCCTCTCTCAACAGCTGCACGAAGTCTTCCATCATGGCGGCCGTGTAGACGCCTGACTCCCGCCAGGCCTCTTTATTCAGGCAGTGCTCGATGGTCTTGAAGGCTCTCTTCAAAATGACGGCAACGAGGGATAAAGCTGTGTGTTTCATGGATACGCTGTCCAACTGGGAAGAAAACAAAGAGTTGAGTCCACAAACGTCTTTAGATGGTCCTGGTGGACCCAGAGCACTCGGGCCTTCCCTGGGGGCCCGCCGGCCACTGCCCACTTGACCTCCTGCAGACCTGACCTCAGCAGATGCCGGGAGGCTGGTCACTAAAGGAGGACTCTGACAGTTATTCCGAATTTTTACCCCACTGTCTGTTTTTGATAAGTCTTCTCTGACAGCCGCTGGGCTCACACAGGCAATTCGCGTCAACGCAGCCGAGACCCCACCAGGACCTGACCAGCCCCTGAAGAAGCACTTCTCATCGGATAGAGATGAAAGCAAAGGTACCAGGCCCTGGGTCTGCACAGCCCCCTCTAAGCTCCCGGAGCCCCACCCCAGGCCGCCCACACCCAGACTCTCTGCTTGGATTCGGATGACAGGCAGGAGGACCTTCCACGCCCTTACTCACTACAGAGACTGAGCAAGGTTCAGGAGCCTGTGCCAGCACCACCAAGGGGCAGGCAAGGCCCCTGGGCCAGCAGGAGCGGGGACATCTCCTGGGCACTCGCGAGACACGTTCCATCACAGGCCCAGGCCAGCCCACTGCCCGGGGACCCCCAGGGACAGAGAAGTCCAGGGAGCACTGGGTGGGATACTGCAGCTTACGAATCAAGTAGAATTAACAAGGTTTTCTGATGGACCTTCAGTCTAATAACACCCCAGGGCCCCAGCATTCCAATAAGCTGGTGTCTCATTTTATACGGACGTTGTACACTCAAGAAGGGCTACGTTAAATTCCCTGAACCAATAACCACTCCCCCCCCGTCATCATTTCAAAGGCAAGACCGAAATGAACACTCAACATGTATATCGCCGGCTTGGAGCACAAAGCTTGGCCAACAGCCTGAGGCCTTGTCTCCGAACAGCCTTCTAATTTCCCGTTTGTAAAACGAGCTCACTCTCTTCTTTCTGGTTCTAAAATCTACGCTATTAAAATTTCATTGATAAAACTGTAATGAATAGAAGGAAAATGTCATTCGGCAGCCCACACACACACACTCCTAACTCCACCCCCGAGACACACCCGTTGCTGGCGTCACTCACGTGAACACAGGCGTAGCTGCGAAAGGGCCACGGACGGGGGCAGAGCCTCAGCTTCCCTTTCGCTGGCCCTGGGCCTGCACAGGAGGACGTGTCCTCTACCCCAGCCCGAGGCCGCCCCACCCGGGGCATAAACTGTCCTGGGAGCGAGACAGCCTTTGACATCCCAGGCCGCCGGGGACAGACCAGGGTCGGCTCAAAGCAGAGAGGAAATGCAGTCAGCCATCACCTCCCACCTGCAAGAGGCAGCGTCAGACACCCCCTCTCGACTTTCTTGCGAGTCTCTTGGGATAAACTATATTGTGCCTCACAAAACAAATGGGCACGCTCGCTGCATCCTAACTCTGTTCTGGGATTTGGCCACCAGAGCAACCTGCCTGGTCCCACCCAGGCCTCTTCTGTCCACTCCGCATGCCCCACTGCTCACTCTCAGCACCATCCCTGGATGGGAGCAAAAAAACACTCTTATCCCACAGTACAATCCAAGGAGTTGGGGCCACTTTACAGCAGCTGCCCCATGGACACCGGGTCCAACCCACACTCTGTGACCCACTGCAGTGGACCCTGGTCCTCCGTGCTCACACCCCAACCAGCCTGCCTGAAACACGGGGACTCTACCCGCCCTGAGGAAGCCCTAAGCCCTGCACCACTCTGAATACCCGTCCTCTGCTAGGTGGATCCTGAGGCAACCCAGGTTTATGAGGGGCTGGCAGGACCCAGAACCCGTGTGTGCATGCATGCGTGCTAATTTGCTTCGTGTCTGACTCTTTGCGACCCTATGGACCATAGCTAGCCCGGCTCCTCTGTCCATGGGATTCTCCAGGCCTGAATACTGGAGGGCATTACCATGCCCTCCTCCAGAGGATCTTCTCGACCCAGGGATTGAACCCACATCTACTTATGGTCTTCTGCATTGGCAGGCGGGTTCTTTACCACTAGCACCACCTGGGAAACCCAGGATCCGTGTGCTAACAACTCATGGCAGATTTGGCTAAGGCCATGATGCTACAGTGAAGAAGGCACGGGTCCTTTATAGTGTGGCTTCTGCTGGGACTCGGAGCTTTATGTTAAAAGAATGACACCGAATCTAAGGATCAAGTTTTTCCATGAACACATCCTCCCCAAACTCCTGAAACAGCTGGTCCTCAAAGTCAATGTTCCCCAGAAAAGTTAGCACTATTCGTTTAAAGCTCAGAAGAAAGGATTTGCTAGGCAAATGTCAGGCCCGCTCTGTTCAAATATCCTCAAGTAATGAGACTTCAATGTGTGACACTGGGCACACATCCCCTCCTCTGACTGTACCCCCTGCTCCCCCTGCCCCCCACTGACAAAGGCCCAGAGCCACACAGGACCCTGCAGCCCCAGCTCAGCGCTGCAGCCAGGCAGGCATGTGACTTGGGCCCCAGGGTCCCCTGGCCCCAGGCGAGTGGACACATGGAAAACCTCGGAAGCTCTGACATAAGATGACCCAATACACGTAGGCTGGTATTCTCAGCAGAGTGGCCGGCAGGGCCAGGGGGGCAAGTGGGAGGGTCTGGAGCAGGGCCCCCACTCACATTCAGTGCCTGTGTGAACATGATCTTGTTGCACACCAGGGGCGCGGTGGTCACCATCACCATGGCCAGAAGCCGGGGCAGCGGGATGAACTCTCGGGTCTGAAACGCCCGGGAGATGTCTGGCTGGGCAGCGTAGATCTAGGAAAGGGATGACAGAGAAGTTAACTTCCAAACCTGAGTCTAACGGGAGGCGCCCAAGAGTGAAGCCACTCCAGGGAAACAATGACAATAACAAAGGCCCAAGGCTCACCACAGGGAACAGGGTCTGGAATGGTTAGAGACCGGGCAGATGGCAAGACTTCTACTGGGGGCAGTGACGGTCAAAGCAGAGCTTGACCGGTGGGTCTGGGGAGCCTGTTAAAGCCTCTGATGGCAAACAAGTCACCACGGGATGACCTCCCCAGTTACGGCACCTGGCAAGTTATGTCGGCTTTTTAGCACTTCATGACAACCCTTTGTGGTTGGGATATTTTATATCAAGATGAAGCATGTTTACAGATGACAACACTGGACCTCACTGAGGGGAACCTCCCTCGGACTGCAAGGCTAGAAGGCAGACTCTAGCCTGGAGACTAGAGAGTCCTAGAGACTGCAGGACGACCATCCAGCCCGGCAGCAGCCGTGCACCTGCCCCTCCCCGTCCCACTCCAGGGAGTGGCCAGGGCGGTGCCCAGCAGGGGTGGCCACGGCCACACCATCACCAAAGTGGGGGCAGAGTGCCTCCTTCCTGTTCCAGCACACGGGGGGCTGCACACACAGGCGCTCAAGGAAAATGATGGACTGAGTTTGTTTTGCAGGTAAACCCACGCCCAAGTCAAGGCACAAGAAAACAATCCCAGCTGTATTATCACTGTGCGCTCAGTCACTCAGTCATCTCCGACTCTGTGACCCCGTGGACTGTAGCCCGCCAGGCTCCTCTGTCCATGGGATTCTCCAGGCAGGAATACTGGAGTGGGTTACCATTTCCTTCTCCAGGGCGTCTTCCCCACCCGGGGATCTGAGTTTCCTGCATCTCCTGCATTGGCAGGAGGGTTCCTTACCCACTGAGCCACTTGGGAAGCCCCATGTTACCGTGAGGCAGACCGTAAGGCTGAGAGAAGGGAAGATGGTGAATGGAAGGACTTGTAGCAGGTACTTCCACTGGTAAACGAGGGGAGGCTGACACCCGTGATCAGATGGAAATTCATTATATCCACAAGACAGACCACTAAGACACAGCTTATTTCAAGCTGTTCTAAGAACTTGAAATAGCGATCTTTAAATAGCTGTGCTCCTTGGCCTGCATTTCAAGGTCAGGCATTTTGCTAATTCTAGCCCAGCTGTGGCTAAACTCATCGAGATCACACTCAAAGAGAAATCTGGATAAAGAGGGTGAAATTGGCTCAACAGATTCAGCAGCATAAACCTCAGAATGCAGCTTAGTGAAAAGTAAAATGTCCTGAGAGGAAAAAGACACCGAATTAACATCATCTAGGACTGATGCTGAAGCTTAAAGCTCCAATACTTTGGCCACCTGCTGCGAAGAGCCAACTCACTGGAAAAGACCCTGATGCTGGGAAAGATTGAGGGCAAGAGGAGAAGGGGGACAACAGAGGATGAGATGGTTGGATGGCATCATGGACTCAATGGACATGAGTTTGAGCAAACTGGGGGAGATAGTGAAGGACAGGGAAGCCTGGCGCGCTGTAGTCCGTGGGGTCGCAGACTTGGACACAACTGAGCGACTGAACAACAACAAAAATATGCTGGAAGAATCGCTGAAAGAAGTTTCTCATCCTGCAGTTTATCAGGATGTCACCCAACCTCCCATCCTCACCACCCCAACTCCTCACACTTCACCCATGACCCCAGGAAGCAGACTTCGAAATGCAGTGGTCGTCACCTTGTTTAGCAGCCTGATGTTATTTGACCAAGTGGACTTCGCCCTTGGGAGAAAGGAAAACGTCACTTCCTTGAAGTACTTGTTCAGTAGGTCCGGGCACACTTTCAGAATGTTCACCACCAGTTCAGCGACCAGCTCGTCATCCGCTGCGGTTTTCAAACCCAGCAGGAAGTGCAGGAGAGTCAGGTTTCCCCCTCTGTCAGAGAGAGACAGAAGAGAGAGGGGTGAGCAGGACACTGAGTGCTCAGGATGACGGGGCAGGTCCTTGGAACCCACCAGTAAACACAGCGTTTTACGCTGTGATGCAGCGATGGGGAAATTTCACTTCTGGTCAATTTCCCTCACAGCACAGAGTGAGATGTTCTCATGGTCTGTGGGGTTCCTGCTCTCCACCAAAGGGCCTGAACTTCACCCCTCTACTTCTTCGGCCTGCGGGACTTCCCCAACCAGGGACCAAATCCGTGCCCACTGTGTTGGAAGCACAGTCTTAACCACTGGGCCACCAGGGCAGCTGCAATCCCCTACTTTTGAAGAGCTAAAAAAGGTCTCTCCTTTGTTCTGTTTCCCACCTCTCCTTCCATCCCTCAAGCTCAACTGACTTCCAGAGAAAACAAATAAACCCTTTCTCTCTGAACACACAGCACAAAAGCAATTTTAAAATTCCCTTTTGAGATTTTACTGACCTCTTTCCTCCAACTACGAGTTTCCCTGATAGCTCGGATAGTAAAGAACCCACCTGCAATGCAGGAGACCCTGGTTCAACTCCTGGATCGGGAAGATCCCCTGGAGAAGGGATAGGCCACCCAGTCCAGTATTCTTGGGCTTCCCTGTGGCTCAGTTGGTAAAGGATCCGCCTGCAGTGCAGGAGACCTGGGTTCGATCCCTGGGTTGGGAAGATCCCCTGGAGAAGGGAAAGGCTACCCACTCCAGTATCCTGGCCTGGAGAATTCCATGGACTGCACAGTCCATGGGGTTGCAAAGAACTGGACACCACTGAGCAACTTTCACTTTCACTTCCTCCAACTACACATGAAAAGCACATATATGAAGATGCATGTGCACGTTAAGTAAAAAATGCAGAGGCATGCATTTTCCTTTAAAAATATTACATTGGGTCTCCCTGGCAGCTCAGTGGTAAAGAATCCACCTGCCAATGCAGGACACATGGGCTCGATCCCTGGTCCGGGAAAATCCCACCTGCCGCAGAGCAGCTAAGCCTGTGCACCGCAGCTCCTGACCCTGCGCCCCAGATCCCATGCCGCGCAGAAGCCGCTGCGGCCGGAGCCCTCGCCCGCAGCCGGAGAAAGCCTGTGTGCGGCAGCGGCGACTCGGCAAAAACAAAACGTGAAGAACAAAAACATTACTTTCTCCCCATGAAGTGCTCATGAAATGCCACAGTGCAGAGTGCCACAAAATTATTTCTAGAACTTAACCAAGTGGCACAGGGTCCTTCTGTAGGTCTTCTGTTTCCTCTGTTTCTAGCTTATTTCAAATTTCTACGCAGCCAAAAGAAGCTAATAGCAGGCGGCGGCAGGCATCTACTGTATGAAAACAGTCGAAACTTGTCTCAAAGTGGGCAGTTTTCAAAGATATACGATGCTAAAAACAGGAAAACTTACAGACTTAAAACCTGCACAAACCTGGGCACCTAGCCCAGGATCTATGTGGTCAAGCAGGTTTTACCCCCAGATACATTTTCGTATCAAGCTTGTCCCTGGAAGTCATAATGTCCAGGAAAAAAACTCAAAACCGGCCTCACTGGCATGTCATATTGATGGCTTGTGGGACCATCGGCTTTGTAGCCCCTTATAAACTGACCAAAACTAAGATGCAATATGGTACTTTACAGATAATAAAGATTTTTCAAAATTTGAATTAGAGAGTAACTTTGATTAGAAAACTACCCTTTAAAAATCTTAACAGTCTTAACAGGAAAATTTCACGAGCAAAACACACTTTGTGCTTTCAAATGCACGGAATGGTAAATTTGCAAAGCATGCCAAAAATATGGCGCGCACACACACATACAATTTTAATCAACGATATAATAAAATTAACAATATTTACAGAATTTGCAGCATGTGCCAGATACTGCTCTAAGCAGTTACCACACGCTCTCTGAGGTGGGCGCTAATTGCATCTTTCTCTCTCTTTTTGTTTTTTAAACAGATGAGGCCATACTGGCAAAGAAGAGCAATAACCTGCTGAGGTGTCTGAGGCGCTCCAGAAACTGTTCTCTGAACCTCCACGGCAGAGCTCAGCAAGCTCTGGCCCGCCACCTGCCTTTGTCAATAAAGCTTTATTGGAACACGGTTACACCCACTTGTTTATTCATGTCGTGGCTGCTGGGGCACCACAATGGCAGGGCTGAGTGGCCACAGTAGGGACAGCATGCACACGGAGCCTGCCATAAGTAACTACCTGGGCCTTTGGGGGAAACGTCGGCCAGCCCTGGCCTCGCTGAAATGCCTCTCCATGTGTGCTGCCCTAGACTCTGGGGGTTCAGGACAGACTAGCCAGGCCCTCTTTGGTGGCCCAGTGGGCAAGAACCGGCCTGTCAACGCAGGGGACGTGGGTTTGATCCCTGGTCCCGGAAGGTCCCACATGCCGTGGAGCAACTGAGTCCCCGCACCACACCTACTGAAGCTCTCGTACTGAAGACCGCAAGCTCCACAAGACCCCGCAGTGAGGAGCCCACGCACCACAACTGGAGAAAGCCCGCACGCAGCAACAAAGACCCAGCACAGGCAGACATGAAATAAAAACAAACAAAACAGACTAGCCTCTGCCTCACCGATTCCTGCCTATCAGATAACGAGCAAGCAAACAAATATGCAAAGTGGTGACAAGTCGCCATCAGAAGCAAGGGCCAGGCAAAAGGACAGTGAGAGTGGAAGGTCTCTCTTTGTGGAGGGTTGCCAGGGAAGGCCTCCCTGACGTGGTGACGTCTGCACGGAGACCAGCAGGACACAAGGGAGCTTGACGACCACTGGGAAGCCAGGCATTTCAATTTTCTCAAAGCTTTCCATTAACACCCCACAAACAAAACCCCTTTCCTCTCTCCTAAGCACAAATATTTGCCTTTGGCCCATGGCTGAAAAATTTTACATAAACCACAGCTTATTTAAACAGACCCACGACCACAAGTTGATTCAATATGCTCATGAAATGATGATCTACTTTATGGGTCTCCTTCACAGGAAAAAGGCATTTTTCAGCATGTTTATATTGTACTATAGAAGTCTGCTCTTACATCTCAGCAAGAAAACAAGTTTTCTCTCACTGATGACAGAAAAGCTACAATATCACCAAAACAAAGTTGAAAGATTTAGAAATAACATGGCAAGTTAATGCATAATAACTACAGAATCGAAACAAGTTCAAAACCACAAACAGGGAGAAAAATTCTCACTAGGTTAATCCCATTAGGGAATCAGTCACTGCCTGACTGGTGGAAACCAAAGCAAACCAACTCTATTCTTGAGCCTCTTTTTTTGGGGGGGGGGGGAGGGGCAACTCTATTCTTATAATAAAATGTCAAGGAGATAAAACTAAGGGTCACTCATGATGACCAGAAAACATATCCAATATTTTTACTGTCAAATGGGAAAAAAGCAGACTGATGAACAATATATCTAACAGTAGGGTATTTTGGTTTAAAAATTAACACAGATACATATTATAGGTTTATGTCTCTAAAGAGAATGTCCAAAAGAACATAATCAAAACCATTAGCTGTGGACTTCATGTTTCCTCGCCAGTGAAATGCTCTCATGATGGTGCAATATGAAATAAAAGGCAAGAAGAAAACTGTGAAAGCCTGAGTCACTAGCAGCTGGCTCTGGGGAGAGGGGGATTGTGTGGCCATCAAGAGTGTGGGCTGGGAACCAAGACCTCCCAGGTTCCAACCTGAACTCCACCACTTACAGGGTGAGTGACCTGACCTCTGTGGGCCACTTTCCCTCATCTGCAAAACTGAGGTAACAATGGTAGCCACCAAGCACTGCGGGGAGGCCCCCAGGAGGGCCCCGTCTCTGGATTTATTCTCAGATCCATCTGGTGCACTGTCCCTAAGTGGACACAGCACCCTTCTGGGTGGGACACCTCACACACTCCCCTGAGACTCCGCCCTGAGTGCACACAATGAACAGGAACCGTCTGAGTCCTGTTCCAAGTTCATCCCCAAAATGAGTCCGGTAACATCTAAGACGCTAGTTCTAACCCCTTAGAACTTCCTTACACTTCCATCACTTAACAGATTTCCACGGGAAGCCATGGATGTGATGACCTCTGAGAACTCACACTCAGGATGCACACAGGCTCTAGCCTTACCTGCCGAAGGTACCGAGAGATGCGTCGTAAAAATTAATCCCATGCTTGAGCGAACAGCATAGATCCATCAGGAAGTTATGAACAAGCTCCCGCACCATGGTCTTCCCTGCATCTTCAGCAGAAGTCTATGAGGGTTTCAAAGACACTTAATCACCAGACAGGCTTCATAAGCCTTAGTAACAACTACAGGGTAAAAGCTGGACAATATCACATGCCTCATATTAACAGCAACTCAGAAAACATTTTAAATTAAACACTTGGTAGAACTGTGGTGTAGAGAAGACTCTTGAGAGTCCCTTGTACAGCAAGGAGATCAAACCAGTCAATCCTAAAGGAAATCAACCCTGAATATTCATTGGAAGGACTGATGTTGAAGCTCCAATACTTTAGCCACCTGATGTGAAGAGCTGACTCACTGGAAAAGACCCTGATGCTGGGAAAGACTGAAGGCAAATGAAGAAGGGGATGACAGAAGATGAGATGGTTGGATGGCATCACCAACTCAATGGACACGAATCTGAGCAAACTCTGGGAGATAGTGGAGGACAGAGGAACCCAGGTCCATAACCTGCAGTCCATAGCGTCACAAAGAGGTGGACATGAGTTAGCAACTGAACAGCAGCAATAATAATTCAAAAACAAAAGTTCACAAAAAAGAGAAATACCAATCAAAACTTAAAAATGCTCTGATATGTGGAATCTGAACAAGATAAACAAATAAAACAATAATAATTTTTTTTAAAAACCTCACAGAGAGCAGATTGGTAGCTGTCAGATATGGGGATCGAGGGACTGGGGAGAATGGGTCAACTGTGGGTTTTTTGTTTGTTAGAAAATTAAAATTTTCTTTTTTAAAGTTGAACAAACAGGGGGTTGCTGGAACCACAAGAAACTACAGATAACTTCTGAGATTTTCTGTCGTCTCTGACCGTCTCCGAGCACTTTACAGTACTTCTTAGTGCAGCCCCGTAAGCCTGGCCGGGAGGCAGGATTGCATCCTTTCGAGGAAGGAGCAAATTGTGGATGAGACGCTGAGGTCGGCACCAAGACAGAAGTACAGAGCAGGTCAGTCTTGGGACCCCTGGTAGCAAAGATTCTGTTTACAGCACATGCTGTGTTTCTTCTAAGCCTGTTCTTGCTTTTGCTTTATGATACTGTGGCAGAAGATGGAAACGTTTGGTTATTGCCCCATTCCCGGCACAGAGCTCCTAAAACCCTTGCAATTTTCTGAGTGATGGGGGTGAGAGGAGCATCTCCCATGGAGATCCTGAATCCCTCAGAATCTCCCAGGTGACAGGAACATCTTTCCTTCTAACGAGGCAAATCTTAACAGGCCCCAGGAGAGGTTCAGGATGGGGTCTGGACACGAGACTACCAGTAACCAGGGCATCGCTTAATGCCCCGATTCTCTGTGTCCTCACCTATGCAACAGAACCGTTAGGGACTGCCCTGGTGGTCCTGTGGATAGGACTCTGCCCTTTCACTGCCGGGGTGCAGGTTCAATCCCTGGTCAGGGAATTAAGACCCCATAAGCCACACAGTGCAGCCAGAAAGCAAAAACAAAACTCTTGAGAGGGGCAAGTTTAAACCTGTATTTTCAAACAAGCTTATGAATGACTTAGTTTCTCTTGCTCTTTTGCATAAAATTCCACAATTGGGAGTGTTCTTATGAAGCTCCCGGGGCTTCCTGGTTAAGGAACATATAAAATATGTGCAGAACAAGGACACAGGCAAGTCATGGAGATAAAAAGAAGTACAACAGTGGGCTCTTGAGAGGTTAACTATTATGGAGTTAACAGGTAAGTCTGAGCCTTCACTACTCTGGCCAAGTCCATGTTCAGAAATGCCCTGAGAAAAATCAAAAGAAGGAAAATTCAAAGGTAGGCTGGCCTCAGGTCCTCATGAGAGTGACTCTTCTTATTTAGCACTTGTTGCTTCCCAAGTGGCGCTAGTGGTTAAGAACCCACCTGCCAATGCAGGAGAGGCAAGAGATGGGGGTTTGATTCCTGGGTCAGGAAGACCCCCTGGAGTAGGAAATAGCAACCCACTCCAGTATTCTTCCCTGGAGAATCCCCATGGACAGAGGAACCTGGCTGGCGACAGTCCACAGGGCCGCAAAGAGGCGGAGACGACCGAGCGACTGAGCACACACACAGAGCGAAGCATCCTCGTCAGCAGGTGAGGAAGGCGATGCACCCTAGATCCCAGGACACTAAATAGAAGCAACAGGCCTTGAAACGCTGATGATGGGAAACATACGAAAAGAACAGATGGGAGAGGAGAGGTAAGCAAGGAGGGAGAGAGCGGGAATCCACCCTCTAAGTCTACCACGCGAACACTGCAGGGAAAATGAAGATGCCCTGCAGCTAAAAGGAATAACGGTTTGCTCATTAAAGAAAAAGACAAAACAAGTTTAACATGATACATCGGATATTAGAGAAAATTTTACTCTGATTAAAAGAGTCATATTGTATCTAGGTAGATAATTAATATAACCACAGGCCAAAAGAAACAGATCAAATGGGGGGATGTATTTTTTAAGGTAGGTGTATACACAGATCATGTTTTCGTGTGTGCATGCATGCTCAGTCGTGTCGGATTCTTTGTGATCCCAGGGACTGTAGCCCATCAGACTCCTCTGTCCATGGGATTTCCCAGGCAAGTATACTGGACTGGACAGCCATTTCCTCCTCCAGATCTTCCCAACCCAGGGATCGAACCCATGTCTCCTGGATTGCAGGCAGATTCTATACCACTTGAGCCATCAAGATGACATGTATAGATGCTTCAGTCTCCCAGCTCTGGGTATCACATGCTAACAGTAATGACAAGTGAATCCCAGAAACTGTACCTCGACGGTGTCCAGGCTCACGTCGACAATCCCCTTCCAGCTGTAGAGAGATGCTATGTGGTTCAGCACTTGTGCAGTAAAGAAATGCACCTTCTGGGTTTTTGTGATATTTTTATTGTGAACTACCTGAAAACAATAGAACAAATGGCTTTCAAGGAAGTTGATTTCTAAAACTTGTTGGATTTCATCATTACAAAAATAATATAGACTTGTGGCAGAACACTTAGCCAGAAAAAGAAAAAATGTAAAAAGGAAAACAAAATTCATCAATATTGTCACCTTCCTAGGACACCAACAGCTTACATTTCAGTATATTTCCTTTCAGCCTCTGCCCCTCACCAGAACACACACAAAATATATACATGTGTATATATTAAGTGTATTAGGTTTTTATTGGGGTTTGGATTTTTTTTTTAACTTCTTTGAGATTATATATGGCTTTGTACCTGCTTGATTTATGTAGCATGAACTGTCTCCACATCATTAAAAATTCCTTTAGAACATCATTTTGGAGGGCTGATCATCATTCTACCCTAGGAGTGACCGTAACTCATGTACCCATTCCCCAGGTGGGTACAATCAGGCCGTTTCCATGAGCAGCATCTTTGCCCAGCGCCTGCACCGCATCCCTGCCTATGCACTTAGAATGGTGCACAAGCTCTCAGCTCCAGTCAATCTACCCCTCAGCCCGGATCTAGGAGGGCTTTTGAGTTATTTCAAATCCATTCCCAGGTGATCCTGAGGCGACTCCCCAAACCCCAGCACATTTTCAAGACCTCTGACACACACACTGCCAGACCTGCTGTCTTCCAGAGGGGCTGTAACACTTCCTCCAGGGAAGCACCTGATTCTTTGCTAGTGCTGAATATCAGGTCTTTAAAGTCAAGGCCAACTTGGTAGGTGAAAAAACCTGTAATCTCATGACTTGCTCTGCTTTGAACCCAGGACATTTTTCAACCTCAGAACTACTGACGTTTGGGGACAAACTGTGGTTGTGAGAGGCTGCACACAGGACACCGAGCAGCCTGCAGCAGCTGCTCGACCTTGGTCTCTGTCCCCAGATGCAGTCACATTTCTCCAGTTGTGACAACTGAAACTTGCCAGATGGCCCGGGGGGACAGAACTGTGCCCAAGTTGAGAAGCACTAAATGCTATGTGCTCATGAGCCCTTTCCACGTGGGCTGCCAGCTCATAGCCTTTGGACAACTTTTTTTTTATTTTGGGAGGGTCATGGAGTTTTTCTCATGGATCACGGAAGGGGCTTCTATGTCAAAGACAGCGATCCTTTCAGCAAGTTTTCAGATTTCTGCAAGATTCTTATACAAGGCAGACTATGGAAGATGACACAAAATAACATTTTGTATTATTATGTAACATAACAGCATGCTAGGTGTGTATGTGAAGAAGGGTTGTCATTTACAGCTCGCAGTTACCCCAGTGGCTTCCGGTGGAATGGGGTCGGGGGTGGGGGAAGCAGGTAGCTGTTTTTCTCCTCTTGTAAGAAATGGCAGCTGTAACCTTCAGGATCGCTCACAACCACCAAGTTCTTGCTTAAGAAAGTTTCCCATCCAACCCACACAACAACCCGCATAACCTATGATGTCACAGCTCTGAAGTCCTGTCAAAAAAAAACACCAGCAAACACATGACAGGAATACTAATCACCAGACACATACCTTTGTTTTCAGTGTGGACAACAAAATGTTGATGGTGGAGATCCTATCTTCCTTGATGCCTGAGCTAAAAATGCAAGGAATAAATTCTGGAAGTAAAAAGTTTCAAAGCATTAGATTCAAAAATACTTTGAATGGGAACAGATGAGAGAGCATTACTTCTTAAAATTGTTCTTAAAATGGTAAGGCAAACAATATCACTGACTTGCCTTTTTTCTTTTTTCAGGTTGTCTTTTTTAATTACACAAGTTCACAGCAGGAGAAACTATTTTTGTGACATAGGAAATAAATTTCTAAAGGCAAAACAATGAGTGAACCATTAAAGTCCAACAGTTCTTTGATTCTATTTGACCTTTCTTTTTTCACATTAACTTCAGTAAAGTTAACACTAACAGTTTGAAAGAGCATGTATGGTATGATTAGTTTTCCAAAGTTCCACTCTTCGCTTAGACCAGTTCAGAGATGTCTCTGAAACGACAGTCGTCACTTTATTGACTGGCCGTAGAATTGGACTGATTCATTTGCTTTCTCTCCCCTACGACTCAACCTTCCACAGCTTGATCCTCCGTTATTAGTAACACACTGGTGACACTGGTAAAAACCAACAAACGAATTAGTTTCTCTTGCTCTGTACATTCTTCACAAGCACATATCATTTCTTCAAAGGGAAATTCATTATTCTTAAAAAAAAATCAGAAAATGCCAGATAGAAACTTAAAATCAACCATAGCTCCACTACCTAAAAGTTCACACTGGGTAATGTCTGGGTTCCCAGTTGACTGTTAACCTCTACTCAACTCCTTAATTATTCCCTTAGGATAAACGGCTGGATGTGGAAAGGCTGGCCCGGCCCAGCTGCCCTGCTGAAACTTTAACAGAAGTGCATCCTTGCCCTTTTAGCAGTATAGACGGAGGATACCAAAATCAGTGTCCTCCGCTTAATAAAAGCCAGGCACCAAGAAGAGGCAGGGGAAGATTCTGAAGAAATGCCCGGCCCTGGAGGCAGAGGGCGTCCCACGCGGGCTGGCAACAGCGGGACCTGGGCACAACACCAGGGGAAGCAGCGTCCTCCACGGGGCTGCGGTCAGGGCGGCCACCCGGCCCCAGGCTGACCACCTCCAGGGACCCGCACCCGCACCTGCTCGTGAGTGGTGTCGGCAGCCTGCCCTGGAGGGGACTCAGGCCTCCCACGCTGGGGGAGGTGGGGAAACGGTTGCAGGCTCCATGCTCGTCTCCTCCCACAGTCTCAGGACCCCAGCTGAGCCGGCAGCCGCTCCTCACCCGCAGACAGGGCTCGACCCCGGGGTCTCACTGGACAATGGCCCCCTCTGCGCTGCCATCCACGGTCTTGAGAAAAAAGCTGGGGGCCCTAATGGACGAAACCATGCCAAGCCTCGCTCTAGGGAGACTGGCACCAGCTGGAATTCTCTGAAGCTCGATGACTGATATCCTGCTCACACCAGGTGTTTCTTTTTTTTAAAAAAAAGCACAACTACTAAGAGAAGCTATGTAGCCAGGGCTATGAATCTGCGTCCTTTCTGGAGCTAGAAAGCCTCCTTTGTTCGCGTGCTGCAGTCCATGAGGTCGCAAAGAGTCGGCCATGACTGAGCGACTGAACTGAAGTTTGCGTTTCTCCTCTGTTAGGCTCGCTCAGCATCGAGCTAGTGCAACAGGGACCCCTCTGTCTGCACTGACTAGTGGCTTTCAAGCCACGGTGACCAAAGTCTCGCCGCACACACCCCTCACTCCCGTGTGCAAGGCAGCCACAGAGGCGGCTGACCTCTGTTAACCCGCTAAATGCTCAGAACAATCATGGGGAGGCCGGGCCCCAAGACAACGAGGCCCTCCTACCTTTCAACTCCAGCACTTGCGTGACTGTGCTGTCATCGCCGGCAATCAGAAAGGAAAGGGCGAACTGAATGTAGGCCAGCCGGACGTCAGGTACTCCCTGGGGGGGAAGGAAATGCATGTCACACGTGTGTTCACACGCATACACATGCACACGCGCACACACAGCCCTGAGGAAGCAGGAACACGAGGCTGCCCCCCGCACCCGCTCATCCCTGTATCACAGGGTCATCAGGTACTGTCTGAGCGTCGACGTCTAGAACCACTGGTCATCTCTTTATGGAAACCAAGGGTTTTTCTTTTGCTCTTTCCCTCTCAAGCTGCTATTCTTCTTTCAAGCCCTCTCTAAATACCAAAGCATAGGTCTCCCCTTCCCTGCCTGTAAGACACACACGTTTTTAGTTCAGGGGCCACTTTGAGGGTATACAGCAGAGGATGCTTGGCCTGTCTACATACCATCAAATCATGAGATAATAGGTCTCTGTTTTCGAAAATCCAGAGATGATGGAAAGACTGGTGCTGCTTTTGATGAGACACCCATGAGGTGATGTCTGGCTTTTATTAGATATTCACAGCAGACACACAGATGCGGCCACATTACACACGCAGCATGGCCTTCCCAGGACTGCATGCAGTCTGCACTGTCCCGCGGGGCGGCAGCTGGGCCCAGCACGGCATCCTTAACAAGGGCACAAAGGCCATGACCGACGGCCAGCCCCTCAGGAGCGGCCGCGAGGGCCACCTCACCAGTCTCCCCTCCAGGGGCTTTAAGGCAAAGCTGTGTCTCACATTCCTGTTTACACCCAAAGAACCAGGGCACGTGGTCACACAGGGCACGTGTCAGCTGGACCCACACGAGCACACGGGCTCAGAGCCTCCACCGCTTACCCGACAGCGTCTCCCTAGTTCAGTCATTCCAAAGTAACTTTAACCGGAAGACAAGAAGCCAGTTAACATCATGGAGAACCACCACCTTCAAGGCCTGAAGAGACTGAGGAGTCTCCACCGTCCCGGGAGTCCCATTCACTTGGTGGTGGCAGCAGTGATGGTGAGGAGGGTGAGGAGGGGAGGGGGGCGAGGACGGTGAGGAGGGTGAGGGGGGTGAGGAGGGTGAGGGGGGTGAGGAGGGGAGGGGGGCGAGGACGGTGAGGAGGGTGAGGGGGGTGAGGAGGGAGAGGAGGGGGTTGAGGAGGGTGAGGACAGTGAGGAATGTGAGGAGAGGAGGGGGTTGAGGAGGGTGAGGACAGTGAGGGGGGTGAGGGGGATGAGGGGGGTGAGGGGGGTGAGGACGGTGAGGAGGGTGAGGGGGGTGAGGGGGGTGAGGGGGTGAGGAGGGTGAGGGGGGTGAGGGGGTGAGGGGGGTGAGGGGGGTGAGGAGGGTGAGGGGGGTGAGGAGGGAGAGGAGGGGGATGAGGGGGGTGAGGGGGGTGAGGAGAGTGAGGGGGGTGAGGGGGGTGAGGACGGTGAGGAGGGTGAGGAGGGGAGGGGGGTGAGGGGGGGAGGGGGGTGAGGAGAGTGAGGGGGGTGAGGGGGTGAGGGGGGTGAGGGGGGTGAGGAGGGTGAGGGGGGTGAGGGGGTGAGGACGGTGAGGAGGGTGAGGAGGGGAGGGGGGTGGGGGGGAGGGGGGTGAGGAGAGTGAGGGGGGTGAGGGGGGTGAGGGGGGTGAGGAGGGTGAGGGGGTGAGGGGGGTGAGGACGGTGAGGAGGGTGAGGAGGGGAGGGGGGTGAGGGGGGGGAGGGGGGTGAGGGGGGGAGGGGGGTGAGGACGGTGAGGGGGGTGAGGGGGTGAGGGGGGTGAGGAGGGGAGGGGGGTGAGGAGGGTGAGGGGGGTGAGGAGGGTGAGGAGGGGAGGGGGTTGAGGGGGTGAGGGGGGTGAGGGGGGTGAAGAGGGTGAGGGGGGTGAGGAGAGTGAGGGGGGTGAGGGGGTGAGGGGGGTGAGGGGGATGAGGGGGGTGAGGAGGGTGAGGGGGGTGAGGGGGGTGAGGAGGGTGAGGAGGGTGAGGGGAGTGAGGGGGGTGAGGGGGGTGAGGGGGGTGAGGGGGTGAGGGGGGTGAGGGGGGTGAGGAGGGTGAGGGGGGTGAGGAGGGTGAGGGGGGTGAGGGGGTGAGGACGGTGAGGAGGGTGAGGAGGGGAGGGGGGTGGGGGGGAGGGGGGTGAGGAGAGTGAGGGGGGTGAGGGGGGTGAGGGGGGTGAGGAGGGTGAGGGGGTGAGGGGGGTGAGGACGGTGAGGAGGGTGAGGAGGGGAGGGGGGTGAGGGGGGGGAGGGGGGTGAGGGGGGGAGGGGGGTGAGGACGGTGAGGGGGGTGAGGGGGGTGAGGGGGGTGAGGAGGGGAGGGGGGTGAGGAGGGTGAGGGGGGTGAGGAGGGTGAGGAGGGGAGGGGGTTGAGGGGGTGAGGGGGGTGAGGGGGGTGAAGAGGGTGAGGGGGGTGAGGAGAGTGAGGGGGGTGAGGGGGTGAGGGGGGTGAGGGGGGTGAGGAGGGTGAGGGGGGTGAGGGGGGTGAGGAGGGTGAGGAGGGTGAGGGGAGTGAGGGGGGGAGGGGGGTGAGGGGGTGAGGGGGGTGAGGGGGTGAGGGGGGTGAGGGGGGTGAGGGGGGTGAGGGGGGTGAGGGGGGTGAGGGGGGTGAGGAGGGTGAGGGGGGTGAGGGGGGAGGGGGGTGAGGGGGGTGAGGGGGGTGAGGGGGGTGAGGGGGGTGAGGAGGGTGAGGAGGGGAGGGGGTTGAGGGGGTGAGGGGGGTGAGGAGGGTGAGGGGGGTGAGGACGGTGAGGGGGGTGAGGGGGATGAGGGGGGTGGGGGGGTGAGGAGGGTGAGGGGGGTGAGGGGGGTGAGGAGGGGAGGGGGGTGAGGGGGGTGAGGGGGGTGAGGGGGGTGAGGGGGTGAGGGGGGTGAGGGGGGTGAGGAGGGTGAGGGGGGTGAGGAGGGTGAGGGGGGTGAGGAGGGTGAGGGGGGTGAGGGGGGTGAGGATGGTGAGGGGGGGAGGGGGGTGAGGGGGGTGAGGGGGGTGAGGGGGGTGAGGGTGATGTTGATAAGGATGAGGATGTGGATGAAGATGTGGTGATGATGACGGTGATGAGCATGATATCAGTAATGTTTACTGAGCATTCACGACTGTAGACACCCTGCCAGGAGCACATCCATTATCTCAGTTACAGTAAGAATCTGAGGTAGAGACACCCACCATACCTGTCTCATAGATGCGGAAACTGAGGTTTTAAAATCCTCACCTAAGCTTATGTGTATGTCACTTAGCCGCGTCTAACTCTCTGGGACCCCATAACTGTGGCCCGCCAGGCTCCTCTGTCCATGGGATTGTCCAGGAAGAACACTGGAGTGGGTTGCCATTCCCTTCTCCAGAGATCTTCCTGACCCAGGGATCGAACCCAGGTCTCCTGCATTGTAGGCGGACTCGTCACCAGCTGAGCCACCACGGAAGCCCCTCACTTGAGGTTACACAACTACTGAGTGATAAGAAATACCTGCACACACACACTGCCTCCTGCTTCACCTCACGTCTGCCTACAGAGAAGCTCCTCCTTCAGGGCTCCCCTGGCAGCTCCATGCCACTTTTCCTCAAGCTGCAAGGACCATACGTGGCACCGTTTAGGCCTCTGTGACTACAGAATTACTTGTCTTGTTTTATTGGCTGTTTCTTCTGGAGAAAAGAGTGTGCATTCAACCCTGCTCTGTAACATCTGAGTGGAGCCCTTGCAAGGTCCTCGCATTTACTGAGTTTATCTCCATCCACAGCACAGCACACACTTCAGCAAGACCTTACGAGACCCAGGCTGCTTTATTCCACTAAGAGCCCCAAACTATCGTCTTGTTCTGGGGACCAACCTGCGGGCCCCCTCCCAGTATGCGGTTTGGGTACAATGACCCCTTCAAGTCCTGAAAATCAGCTACACTCTGACCCCGCTGGTGTCAGCAGTGCTCCGGGGCCTTCGCTCATCAGCTCTATGCACCACACCAGTGACACTCAGGTGTCACCACCTCGGGCTGAGAGGACGCAGAGGCGACTGGGATACTGTCCTGTCCTCAGTAACTGCCTCGAGTAACCACTGCAGCTCAGCCATCTGGACGCCTCACCGTTCAAACCACCGAGCCACCTGATTCAAGCAAAGTTCACCTATCCTGGTCTACACACGCCTTAAATTTCAAAAGAATCCTGGCAAAACGCTAGAACTTGCCTGGTAAAACGAAATTAGGTTTCGTCCTTCCCCTCTGAGTTGGAAAGGTTCCAGAAGTTTGGGGTTCTCTGTCCACTGAAGTCCTGGGAATCAGGGCTCTGGAGTGCTGGTCCTGACCTGCCATTCTAGGTCTTTCTATCCCATGTGAACACAGCAGAGGCCCTCTCACGGGTGCTGCCAGCAATGGATTTTGAACTGAAACGGAAGTTAGTTCTCACCCGCTAGCATCCATCTTTTATGTCCCAGAGAACCCCAAAGTTCAGATTCCTGACACGGTGGAGAACAAGACCCCCGAGACACAGCCTTGGCTGTGTTTTTCAGAAGCTGCCGCCAGGCCTCATCCCCCTGACCACAGCCCCTCACGGCCCCCAGCTGGCGCCCCATGTCTCCAGCAAACTCCATCAAAGGCAAGAAGGCCACACACGCCTGCCCCTCATTCCTACACTCTGACTTCACGGGGCTATTATCCCAGGGAGAAAACATCCCGAACCCGATGGCGTGTTCTGCAAAACACTGTCTGAAATAGATCAAAACATATTTGGTAAAAATGCTCTTTGGCACAGGACTTTTAACAATGCTTTCTTTGGATGAGAAAAAATATTCATAATCCTTTTTCTTCACGAGGCTTGAATAACTCCCTCCAAAATGTTAAAAACACTGAAAAAAAAAATCTCCCTTAGCTTCTTCAATAAGTAAATGGCATTAAAAAAAAAAAAAGTGGGAGAAAAGCAGACCAAAGATCTGGCGAGATTTAAGAGAAACATCCCGTGTAGCCCCTGTGTGGGTCCCAATTTGAAAGACAGAGGGTACAGATGTTTCTGAGACAGCGGGGGAAAAGCTGAGACTGAACTGGGCATTAGATGATGGTGAGAAATTATTAACAGTGTTAAGTATGATGATGGCACCGTGGTTTTGTTTTCTAAAACGTTGCTTTCTGTTAGAGATACTGAAATATTTATGGTCGAAATATATTTGCAATGTGCTATAACAGGGGCTTCCCAGGTGGCGCTGGTGGTAAAGGACCCACCTGCCAATGCAGGAGAAGCAAGAGAGCTGGTTCGATCCCTGGGTCGGGAAGATCCCCTGTAGGAGGACATGGCAACCGAATCTCACGGACAGTGGAACCTGGCAGGTTATAGTCAACAGGGCTGCAGAGTCGGACATGACTCTGACTGAAGCGACTTAGCACGCACGCACACACACACACACACACGCACGCACACACACACACATACACACACACACACTGTAATTGACTGTCTGCCCCAAAACCCAAAGGCAGGGAAGCATGACAGCGTCTGAAGTTGGATGTGAGGGACATAGGAAGTCACTGTGCCAATGCCTATTTTTGAATGTCCTTGACATTTCCCATATGAAAAAAAATTTTTTTTTTTACTGTCTAGAAACTATTTCCTAAAATAAACAAAGTATTTTGGACTTTCCTGGTGGTCCAGTGGCTAAGACTCCACACTCCCAATCCAGGGGGGACCAGGTTTCCTAGGTGGCACTTAGTGGTAAAGAGCCCTTCCTGCCAATGCAGGAGATGTGAGAGACGTGGGTTTGATTCCTGGGTCGGGAAGATCCCCCGGAGGAGGGCATGGCAGCCCACCCCAGTATTCTTACCTGGAGAATCCCATGGACAGAGGAGCCTGGCAGGCTACAGTCCATGGGGTCTCAAAAGAGTTGGACAGGACGGAAGTGACTTAGCACAGCATGCACAAAGTATGTGAGATACTTGATACAGATGATTAAGCAAAGCAAAACACTTTCATTTCTACAGTAAGTCCTGTTTTCCTCCACCCGGGCAAACAGAGGTGGGTCTCTGTCACCTGGCGCCGATGCCAAGGTAGGGGGCAGTGGGGGACAGAGTCAGCAGTGAGGGGGTGTGTGTGTGTGTGTGTGTGTGTATTAAGTCGCTTCAGTCATGTCCGACTCTTTGAGACCCCATGGACTATAGCCCGCCAGGCTCCTCTGTCCATGGGGATTCTCCAGGCAAGAACACCGGGGTGGGCTGCCATGTCCTTCTCCGGGGGATCTTCCTGACCCAGGGATCGAACCCACATCTCTCACATCTCCTGCATTGGCAGGCGGGGTTCTTTATCACTAGCACCACCTGGGAAGCTCAGCAGGGAGGGCAGACCCTGCAAAGGGGAAAGGGCGCCTTGACCGCCCACAGCTGGCACAGGGGTTGGAAGGGTGCCCGTGCTCTGGCTCATGTGTTCTGAAACTCGTGCTTTTCCCTCAAGATCCTTTCAAACCCAAGGGAAACTTCTGGAGCTCCTAGAAAACCATTCTTCTTTAGACAACTCTCCTAAAAACCAACCGTTCACACTTCGAACCTCTTTGGCACAATCAGCCCCTACTCACTGGTAAGACTTCTAACCGGGAGGCACAAGGAACGTATTAGAAGGCCACACGTGTCAGGCTTCCATGGTGGCTCCGTGGTAAAGAATCTGCCTGCCAAATGCAGGAGACATGGGTTCAACCCTCAATCCAGGAAGACTCCCACATGCCACAGAACAACTGAGCCCATGCCACAAACTACTGAACCTGTGCTCAAGAGGCTGGGAGCCGCAACCAGAGAGCCGCAGCTGCTGAAATCCGTGTGCCCAGGGCCCGTGCTCCGCAGGAGCAGAAGCCACGGCAGGGGGAAGCCCGCACACCACAGCTGCAGAGCAGCCCCTGCACGCCACAACTAGAGCAAAGCGTGCAGAGCAACAAAGACCCAGCACAGTCACAAAATAAATAAATATTATTTTTTTTTAAAAAGCCATAAATGTCATTTCTGATGACCTCACTGGCGGGGCCTCTCAAGGGTTTTTCCATACAGTGGACGGAACAAGCACGGAGGACCAGCCCACCACGAGGACCACCCCACGAGGCCCGGGGAGACCACTGCCACTGCTCTGGAAGACGCCCTCCAGCTGCACCATCCTCACGGGCCAGAAAGGCCCCGCCATGCTGAGCCCTGGAGGAGCTGGCCTCAGACGTCCCTGTCACTCAGACCCCGCCAGGCGACCAGGCCCCTACCACCGGCTGGGGTGAGGCAGCCCTTCCTCACAGGCTCAAAGTGGCTGCCGAGGCGCACACCTTTCCATGCAGAGGCCTCCCGCTTCATCTACGTGAGGACTGAGGCCAGAGAGGAGGACCCAGGAACCACCGCAGCCCCCCGGAAGGAAAGGAAACTCAGGGCAGGGGGGAAACACATGAGACACTCCTCACCTTTGGATCCCTCTTGGTCACCAGGGCGTACAAGGTCTTCTTATTCAAATCGAAATGGCTGCAGACGTCCCTGGCGGCCTCGGGACCCTGGGTCACCATGGCAGCCATCAGGTTCAGGCAGGCCCGAGCCATCCTGGTCAGGACAAGTGGGGCCTGGTGTCGGGACGGCAGGACCACGAAGGCCCCTCGCCTCGAGCCAGCTGCAACCTGTCTGTGCGGTCTGCTGGCCCCACACCAGAAAACAGGAGGAAGGAAACACATGCCCTTTCTTTAAGAAAAGCTAAAAAATTGAGTCTGAGGACAATCCAAGAACACAAGATGAAGACAGAAGATGGCAATGTCTCTCTCCAGTAAATCACCACAGAGCTGGACCCCCACCCCCAACCCAGTGCGGGTCAGCAGAAGACTTTTGCACAGGGGACATCTCTAGATGCAAGTGCCTGGCGGCCTCTCCCCACTGCAGTAGGTTACCCAGAATCCACGGTGACCAAGCACCTACCACGTCCTATTTAAGTGCTGGGAAAACAGCAATTTACAAGACAGTCAAGGCCCCACCGTCGTGCACCCTGCATCCCAGCAGAGGGAGACAGTGGGTCAGGAGATGGCTATGGATATCATGGTTCAGCTGTGGATGGGATGGTCAGAGAGGGCCTCCCTGAGGTGACACCTCTGCAAGGCTGTGAAGTGGAGAGGGACAGAGTCTGCGAGGACCTAGGAGACGAGCCGTCAGGGTTAAAAGGACAGGCAGCGTTAAGGAGGTCTGGGGTGTTCCCCAGAGCGCGGGGGCGGGGTGGGGGAGTGACAGGGCGGGAGCAGAGGGACACACAGCAGCAGAGGAGTCGGTGACAGCAAGGGGACAGTCAACAGGAGGAGGGGGGGCACTGCCATAGCCTCGGAAACAGCTCAGCTCTGCGGGCGAGCAGAGGAAAGGTCAAGTGCCCTCGTGCAGAGCTGAACGCTGACCAAGTCCAAGGCTGGTCCTGCCACATACAGGCGGCCAACTTACCTGTAACCTGAGGCATACAGGGACTCACAGATGAGCTTCATGTGGTTATTCATTAGCTTCTTCACGATGTTGGTCCCCACCACGTGAAAATGGGAAAGGTCACTGGCTGTCCGCAATAATATGGCCTCAAAAACTTGAAATACTAAAAGCATCTGCAAAGACACAATCGAAGTACTTACAAATCACCTCCTTTCTTTTCCTCCTCTACAAACACTTGTCTTAGCCACCGTCACCTGTAGGTTTAACAGATCCCGAATCAGACACAGGGATCTGCCAGGCCCTGAGCTCTGGAATTAGCCTTGTTCCAGGAGTCTAGCTAAACAGAGAACAGCTTGCTTACAAGTAAACCAAATGAAATTAAAAGAGAAATTTCTAGTAATGATTCCGCCTCACTGCTTTGGGGATATTCATGTCTACAGCCTTACAGCAATGATCCTGAGATTTCAACAGGTTCATAAACACCTCAAATTCTGAACCTCTTTGGAAGCAGAAAACAACTGACAACTCCATATACATCTGAACCTTGGACACACAGTCTTTACCTATTTCCTTTCTGTTAAAGCAAACCATGCGGAAACCAAGTGCATTTAGATAAGAATATATGATCCTTCCTTCTGCTATCATTCACCAGTAACAAGTTAGCACTTTCCTCTAAAGGCTTTCAAAGGTTACAATGCAAAAATGGATATATCTCTACAGCCCAGGCACAGAGCATCATTTTCAGTAGAAAGCTGGTAATATCTTGGAGATTTATATCACATTTCTCTTCATCAAGGTTAACATAAAAGTTGTTGTTATTCAGTCACTAAGTCATGTCCAACTCTTTGGCGACCCCATGGACTATAGCCCTCCAGGCTCTTCTGTCTAGAATACTAGAGTGGGTTGCCATTTCTTTCTCCAGGGGATCTTCCCGACCCAGGGATCGAACTTGGGTCTCCTGCTTGGCGGGTGAACTCTTTACCACTGAGACACCAGGTAAGCCCTAACACAACAGTAGCACTAACTTTTCCTTCTCCCCATCAGGCCAGGTAAGGAAGAGCATACTTCACTTTCAGGGCGCTTCTCCCCACTCAGGAGCTGGAAAATCTCAGCACACTCCACAGAAATCTTGATGTACCCCTCCACAACATCATACACATCTTCTTGGGGGAGCTTCTTAGCAGCAGAAACAAATGCCTCCAGGGCTGAAATGAGAGTTTCAGATGTTAATAAGGACGGTCTCTTTAGAACAATCCCAGGTGCTATGGTGATAGGGGCAGACTGCTGGCAGGAAACAGCTAGGTGACTGGAAGCGGCCCGTGACAAGATGGAACAGAGGAGCAGGGTGGAGACCGGGAGATCGAGAGGACATATCCTTTTCCCCATCACCAGGAGGTCTTGGGGAGCATCTTTCAAAGGCACTGGTTGACAGCAGAACCCTTCCTGATGCAGGAATCCTCCTGATGGGTTGCCATCTGATGCTCCTGAGCATCCTCTGGGTCTTTATCAATCTAACCCTGCTCTCCATCCCCGCCTCTCATCAACACGAAGCGGGCATAATGGATAAAGAGAATGTGGTATGTCTATACACAGAAATACACACAAAAGGGACTTGCAGTGGTTAAACCTTCGCCTTCCAATGCACAGGGGCAGGGCTCAACCCCTGGTCAAGGAGCCAAGATCCCAGAGGCCTCCTGGCCAAAAAAACACAAAACATAAAACAGAAACAATATTGTAACAAATTCAATAAAGACTTTAAAAAGGGTCCACATCAGGGACTATCCTCGTGGTCTACTGGCTAAGACTCTGTGCTTCCACTGCAGGGGGCAGGGGCTTGATCCTTGGCTGGAGAACTAAGCTAGCACATGCTGTACAGTGCAGCCATACATAATAAACGCGTGAACAAATAGATAACTAAAGCAAAATGAATTTTTTAAAACTGGTCCACATCAAAAAAACAAAAAACAAAGGAAAGATATACACACAATGGGATATTATTCGGCCTTTAAAAAAGAAGGACACTGGGGACTTTTCTGATGGTCCAGTGGTTAAGACTCCAAGCTTCCACTGCACAAGGTGCAGGTTCAACCCCAAGATTCCACATGCCACTCAGTGCAGCCAAAATTAAAAAAAGAAAAAAAAGAAAGTAGGAAACTTTACCTTTTGCAACATTCTACATGAACCCTGAAGGTATTCAATGAAACAAGTTAGAGAAAGACAAATACTGTATGTTCTCATCTATACATTCAATCTAAAAATGGAGGGCCCATCTGATTTTTACTCACCATTTGATCTCTACACCAGCAAATAACACCCCCTTGTAAATAATGAACAAATGAATGAATGAAATGTATGTACTTAGTCACTCAGTCATGTCCAACTCTGTGACCCTTTGGACTGTAGCCCACCAGGCTCCTCTCTCCATGGGACTTTTCAGGCAAGAATACTGGAGTGGGTTGCCATTTCCTTCTCCAAAAACTAATGAACAAATGAATGAATAAAATGTATGCTAAAGCAGATATCCTCTTCCTAGAACTAGCTAGCAGTTGCAGATATCAAACCTTAAAAAAAAAAAATCTGTGGAAGACAAACTAGAAACTGAGGATATTCTGGCCATGAACTTAATAATTTTTCCCTTGAGAGAAACACTGTCACTGTTTCATTTTGACACAATGACAGTGTTTCCACATATTAGCCTAATTCGATTGTGTTTTGGCCTCATAATCTAAATACTTTCTAATGGATTACAAGAAGATGTGCAGGGTGATTACTTCTCAAAAAGTGAAAAATAGAATCTACTTCGTATCAGTCACTAATCTTGGTCAACTGAGAGGCCCTTCGGTGGTTTTATGTGATAGCTTATTACATGTTCTGGGGTCGGTGTGAGTGGTGGAGAATCAAAGCTATGCAAAAAAGAGCTGGCAGCCACGGCAGTAACTGCAAACCGGCTCACTGAACAGCCCCGAACAGACTCTTGCGATCCCATGGCCTATAGCCCTCTGTCCACGGTATTCTCCATGCAGAATACTGGAGTGGGTTGCCATGACCTTCTCCAGGGGATCTTCCCGACCCAGGAATCGAACCTGAGGCTCCTGCATTGCATGCAGATTCTTTACCGATTGAGCTATGAGGGAAGCCCCCGACTCATAGTCAGGACTCCATAAATATTTGCTGTGGTGAATGAGGAGTACATTTATCCACTTTACTAACAATTAAAAAAAAAAAAAAACTTTAGAGCTTGCTGACAGATGCTGCCCGGGCAGGGGAAGCATGTATTCGCAGGAAAACTGTCAAAATCAAGCAAATCCTGGCCCTGGACTTCCGGGCACCCAGGTCTCGGTTTCCCGACTGCAAATCGGGCGGCTGGGCTCCGACCCTCGCTGCAGAAAGGAGCTGCTGCGTCTGCACACGGAGGCCCCACGCAGACAGAAGAAGCCTGGAGATCGCCTCTCAATCTCGCGCTATCTTCCCCCCTGCACTCACCCGGCCCCGCGCCCTGCGGGTCCCTCAGCTGAGCCTTGAAGCGCACGCCCGTGAGCTCTTCGGTGCGGGCCCGCTTGGCTGCGCCCGCCGGGGCAGCCGCGCCGTCCTGGCCGCCTGAGACCTTCCTCTTGGGGACCCCCATGGCCAAGAGGGCGGGGGCGCGCCGGGATCCACGCACCCAGAGACTTGGCGGAAGCAAACACGCAATAACCCAGACAGCGTCTCAGAGCTCGCACGTGGGCTGAATGGGGGCGGGGCTGGCGGAAGGGGCGGGGCCTCGAGGGAAAAGTCGACGGAAGGGGCGGGGCCTGTGAGAAGCGCGGTCTGGCGGAAATCCGGTAGTGGAGGGTAAGCGGTTTCCGAGTTAGGGGTTCCCGTGTGGTGCTACGGTTGCAGCTGGGTCGCTGGCGGCCCGTGGGCGAGGCGACACTCTCTGCAACACGCTCCCCCAAGCCCCGCTCGGCCGCGGCGAGGAGAGGGCCTTCGGCTGCCCTTCTCGAGGGTTCTTGGCAGGAAGAACCCCCAAATCCTCCGCTCCCGAAGGGCGCGAGCCCAGACCCGTGGTCGCAGCACAGTCGGATCCGTTCTTGCTCCGAGGGTGCTCTGCTGTGGCCTGGAACGTGATTAGCACGCGGCGGGATTCTATGCTTTGCTTAAGGCGAAGCCCTGCGAGTTGGTCGGGAGGGTGGATGCCCCTGACTAATAGATTGAGGGCGGGAGAAGAAGGGGACGACAGAATGAGATGGCATAACCGACTCCATGGACATGAGTTTGAGTAAACTCCGGGAGTTGGTGATGGACGGGGAAGCCTGGCATGCTGCGGTCCATGGGTCTCAAGGAGTCGGACATGACTGAGCAGCTGAACTGAAAATTGTCAGGCGGGCCTCTGCGGGTAGGTCCCTGCTCAGGCAACCGGCCTGAAGTCGTGCGGATGCCCCTAACCCCGACCCCTAGCTTATCTCACCTCTGGGACAAAGACCGGCTTATCTGGTGGGATGTCACCGCAGACTGACAAACTAATGTGAGGACTGGCACCCTTTCGGCCCTGCAGGGTGGGAGGAGAGGATCGAATGAAGCCACATCTGTGAAAATCCCTGGTAGACAGTGCAGCGGCCTCCACATCTAAGCCCCGGTCATTAAAAAGGAGACAGCGAAGCCAGCTGTTGCTGAGCGGAGAAAAGGATGCCCATGAAAAACTGCTTTGACCGGGGGGAAAGGACTGTGTCTTTGTAAGATGTTACTCGTTGACTTGAGAGCCACATGAAATGTTCTGAAATAAAATGGAGGCATCAATAAATAAGTAAAAACAGGCTGGTGTGTTCCTTAATACACCTTCATTAATACTTGGTTATGTGTTCAAATAAATCATGAGCCAGATGAGTAATTTGGTGATTCCTGGAATCATCAGTTAGCTCACCCTCTGCTTTGAGGAAATACTCTTCTGTGTTCTTTATGCAGATCTGTATTGAACATCTAAGGACGTGGGTTTTTTGTGACTTGTTGAAGTTCCAGAGTCTAATAGGAAAAGTCTATGGGATTGACCCTGAGCCCCTGACCTGGCAAGACTATTGTGCTTGTGGAAATGCTTACCTTGTAGGCAGGTCAGAGCGAGTGACCTGACCAGATATGAGTTCTTGCAGCAATATTAAGAGACAGGGATATGCCCAAAATTCAGGCTGTAAAGGGTAATACTCTTGTTAGTAAAGATAGACAATTATTTTTTAAAAAACTTTTTATTTAATATTGGAGTATAACAGATAACAATGTTGTGATAGTTTCAGGTGGACAGAAAAAGGGACTCAGCCATACATATACATGTATCCATTTCCCCAAACTCCACTCCCATCCAGGCTGCCACATAACACTGAGCAGAGTTCCCTGTGCTGTACAGTGGGTCCTTGTTGGTCATCTGTTTTAAATACAGCAGTGTGTAGAAGTCCATCTGAAGCTCCTTAACTATCCCTTTCCCCCAACATCCCCCCCGCCCCGGAGAACCATGAGTTTGTTCTCTAAGTCTAGTGAAAGAAAGCTAAGACAGACTTAATTTTGACTAATTGTCAACTCGGGTTCTTTTCTGTGGTTTATTGCTAGCCACCAAGTTTGTTTTCAACCAGAGTGGGCCTGACCAGAGACAGGAGGGAGATGTAGGAAACAGTCAACAACTATTCAGTTTCTGCCTGTGTGGCCTTGGGCATGTTATCAGTTCTCTACAAAAAGGGAGAGAGTGGGAGAACTTGCCAGAACTACCCAGCTGATGGGTGCTGGACCGTTCACCCAGTGTTTCCTAACCTCAGCTTAAAGACAAAAGAAGAGAAGTGGTTGCCCCTCCCAACCTTAGCCAGAGACATAGCAGATGGGGTATGGCTCAGAAGAACAGGTGGATGCGCAGACTAAGTCAGCCTGGTGCAGCGACTCATCGGTCACTAACCCAGCTTGTTCAGATTTGAGGCTCTGGATGGTGACATCCTTTCTATGTAACAAGCCTGCATGGAGAAAAGGGACTTTATTTGCCCCAAGAACACTTCAGTCTACTGAAAATAAGCACCATGGTCCCTAGGACATTCTCAGCTGGTGCCTGCTTCAGGGCCTCTGTGCTCGCCGTCCCTCCTCTGAAACTGCCCAGGCCTCACGGGGCTCCTCTGACTGCATGTGGGCGCTTCCTCTCCACCTCTCACTCCCTATCTTCCTGCCCTCCTCTGTTTTCCTTTGGCGCCTTTATCACCTGCTGTTGTTCAGTCGATCAGTCGTGTCCGACTCTTTGCGACCCCATGGACTGCAGCACACCAGGCTTCCCTGTCCTTCACTATCTCCCAGATTTGCTCAAACTCATGTCCATTGAGTCAGTGATGCCATCCAACCATCTCATCCTCTGTCACCCCCTTCTCCTCACCTACTAGTAATATTAGATATTTGTCAAACTCCTTAACTAAAATGTGCACTGTATAATGACACAAAAGAAAATTCAGTGCTTCATTTTCACTGCCGAGAACAGGGCTTGGCAGCTCATAGGGCTCAATAAAAATTTGTCAATTAGATAAATGTGTGTATAAATACAGAGACCTGGGTCTTGATGCCAATCTATTCTAAAAGAGTCAACAGGTATGCTGTCAAAAAGCCTCAGAATGCAGGTTTTCCCGTCTACAAGCTTATAAATTGGCACCTGGACTGTGCTGAATTAGCCAAAGGAATAGTCCAGCCTCTAATAGCCCACCAGCTCATCTCCTCTGGCCATACTTCTCATTCACATCTGGTAAGTGAGTGTGTTTATTTACTCCTATTTCAATATTACAGAGTTAAATTCAAGTTTTAGAAAGGGGTAAAGGGAGATGCTCAATCAAAGACCCTGTCAAGTTCATATGAAAGCATGTTTATCACAAAATTTATACACATAAACAGAATACATTTTCTTCTTCAATATAATGGAATTGTCATAAAAATGGACAATCTCCTAGGCCACAAAGAAGGCTGAAATTCATTCCCCCAAAATTAATATCATACAGACCATGTTCTCTGACCATCAGGCAGTAAAATTTGACCTTGATAATAAAAGGATAGGCTTTTTAAAATCTCATAAGCCTATGAGAGGGAAAAAAAATTCTAAAATCCTTGGGAAGCACTAGGGAATTTATGAAAGACTGGGAATGCAGTAAAACGGGCACTTTACATTGCTTCATCTGTGGCACACAAGTCTTAGAGGAAAATTTATAGCTTGAAGCACATTTATCAAAAAGCAAGAAAGACTAAAAACAAATGAACTGATAATACATATTCAAATCAAGAAATTGGAAAAAGTGCAATAGAATAACCCAAAGAAGTAAGAAGAAAAAGGAGGCAAAGATAAGGAGCCAAATCAATTACAAATAGAATGAGAAAAACAATAAAGAATATTCACAAACCAAAAGCTGATTGCTTTGGTTTTTACATTAAGTAAACATACCTGTGGCCAGACCAGTGAGGATGGAAAAATAAAGGATGCAAAACAACGAAACACAGGAGTAAAACATTATATAAACATAAATAGTAAATATTTAAATATAATTACAAACATATTTAGAAACAACTATTCAAAAAACTTTCAAAACTAAAAGTAATCTCAGAGTTAAAACAGCGTCTTTAAGGAGAAAATTGTAAAGAATACCTGACTAACTAGACAGTAAAATACCCATGAAGAATGTCTTCACGGCGCGTGTCTGTTAAGTGTTTCTAAATGAAGCTATAAGAGAAACTATCGCCATTCCAGTCACAATCAAGAAACTGAAAAAGCCCATAATAAATTTGTATAGAAAAATAAATGTCTGTGAGTAGCTAACTCAAAAAGACTTCTTTTTTTGGATAAAGATATATCTTAAAGTTATAATAATCAAATTAGAATGGTAATGGTGAAAAGAAAAAGTCAAATAACCTTAGGGAACAGAATACAGACTCAAAAAAGACCTGTATCATGGAAGTATAGGTTAACAACTCTGAAACTAGTTTTCGTGTTACTGGAGTTGAATCAAGGAGCAAATGGATGGGAGGTAATGGGGGTCAGGTTTCTCACTGCTAAAGAGGGTAGATACTTATAAGCAAAAAGGTTAGGGCTTCCCTGGTAGCTCAGCTTGTAAAGAATCTTCCTGCAGTGCAGGAGGCCCAGGTTCAGTTCCTGGGTCAGGAAGATCCCCTGGAGAAGGGATAGGCTACCCACTCTAGTATTCATGGGCTTCTCTGGTGGATCAGATGGTAAATAATCCACCTGCAGTGCAGGGGACCTGGGTTCGAATCCCTCTGCAATTTGGGAGGCCTGGGTTCGACCCCTGGGGTTGGGAAGACTGGAGGACGGCATGGCAACCCACTCCAGTATTCTTGCCTGGAGAATCCCCATGGACAGAGGAGCCTGGCAGGCTACAGTCCATGGGCTTGCAAAGAGTTCTACATGACTGAATGACTAAACACAACACAGCAAGGCTAGAATGAACCTGTGGGACTGGATAAAGCCCGGAGACATTGGTGGCGTCATATTTAATCTAATATAGACAGATAAATTGATACAGAAATAAGTATAGATATTTGTAGTACCCAGGTTTGTACACATGCGTATATTTCCCAGCTCTTTTCACTGTCAGAACTTATAAGTAGTGATACGCCAATAGCATTGAGCATACCCAGCACCCACATCTTGATTTCTAATACCATTATCAAATAAAAGGAACCAGGACTCCTTGGAGAAATGGCTGTGACAGGGCAGGGCATATAAAATGAGCCCAGAGCATCTGGTAGTACCATAAGTAAGAAATGCTTTAAGCGGGGAGTGGGGGGTTGAGGGGTGGGTGGGCAATTATATATCAAAGGGACCTAGGAACCAACCTGAGAGAGTGCCCACTGGAACAATTTGTGACAAAATAATTAACAATTTGAGTGAAAAATAATCCAAATAATTGGATTATAATCTCAGGTATAAATTAATAAGTCTATACTGATAAAAAAATTATTGAAAAATAAATAGATGGGAGAGAAGATCTTCCTTACAAGGTAAGCTTCCTTACAAATACTTCCTACAAAAGTAATCCCAATAATATATGTAGATATTCCTTGATCCAAGAGGTGGGTGGAACTTTGTTCACACACTCCCTCCCCCATCCTCCAGTGTAGGCTTGGTGACCAACGTCCAAAGATTAGAGTATGGCAAAGGAAAAATGGTTGCTTTATAGTGGAGGAACATGACAACCACTGCCTTAGCTAAGTTATGAAGGTTAACATCACCAGCAGTAACTGATGTTGCTTCCATGTACACTTGATGTGATGAGAAGGATGTTTCACATTTAGAGGATCCTTTCCCAAATCCCTGACCCCAATCATATTAAAGATGTCAGACAAATCTAAGTGGAGGGACAGTATAAAAAGATACATCACCTGTACTCTTTAAAACTGTCAAGATCATGAAAAACAAGGAAAAACTAGGGAACTGTCAAAGATCAGGTGCGATTGCAGAGACATGACAAATAAACACACTCTGATGCCCTGGACTGGATTCTGGGACAGAAAAGGGGACACTAGCGGAAAAGTTAGTGAAATAACGAATAAAGTCTGGAGTTTGGTTAATAGCAATGTACCAAAGTTGGTCTCTTAATTTGAATAAGAGTACCAAAATACGCATGAAAAATAGGGCCATTAAATGAAACTGGGTGAGAGTGTACCAAATTCCTCTTTTCAGATATTCTGCAAATCTAGAATTATTCCAAGATTAAAAATGTATTCAAAAAAATGTATTCAAAAGAAAACCAAGACCTGTGTATATATAGGAACTTGATAAATGGTAAAGATGGTACTCCTCGCTAACAATTGGTTTTCCACCAGAACACAGGTGTTGTGAAACCCACCACTGAATCTAAGCCAAGTGGCAAAGTAGACTCATATCAACACTGTCATCATTGGACACATAGCTCAAGTAAGTTTGACATTCATGCCCATCTGATCTACAAATGGGGGGGGGGTGCTGACAAAGGAACCATAAAAATTTGAGAAACAGTCTGCTGAGATGGAAAAGGGCTCCTTCAAGGATGCCTGTGTCTTGGATAAAGTGAAAGATGGATGTGAGTGTGGTATCCCCATTGATCAGTGGTACCACCATCAACATCTCCCTGTGGCAATGCAAGATCAGCAAGTACAACGTGACCATTGTTGATGTCCCAGGATACAGACTTTATCAAAAAGATGACTGCAGGCACATCTCAGCCAGCCCATGCTGTCCTGATTGCTGCTGATGGTGAATTTGAAGCTAGTGTCTCCAGACCTATGAGCGTGTCTTTCTGGCTTACACACTGGGTGTAAAACAAGTAACTGTTGGTGTTAACAAAAGGGATTCCTACAGCCAGAAAGAGATACGAAGACACTGTCAAGGAAGTCAGCACCTACATTAGGAAAACTGGCCATAAGCCTGACACAGTAGCATTTGTGCCAGCTCTGGTTGGAATGGTGACACTCTGGAGCCATGGAAAGTCATCCATAAAGATGGCAGTGCCAGCGGAACCATACCGCCTGAAGCTCTGGATTGCATCCAGCTACCAACTTATCTGACTGACAAGCCCTTCTGTCTGCCCTTCCAGGACGTCTATAAAGTTGATGGAACTGGTACTGTCCCTGTGGAGACTGCTGTTCTCAACCCCCAGCACGGTGGTCACTTGGCTCCAGCCAGTGATACAAATGAAGTCCAGTCCCTTGGAATGCACCATGAAGCTTTGGGTGAAGCTCTTCCTGGGGATTCCATGGGCTTCAGTGTTGAGATGGTATCTATCAAAGATGTTTGCCATGGCACCATTCTTACTGGTGACAGTAAATATGACCTACCAGTGGAAGCAGCTGACTTCCTGACCATCCTGAACCATTCAGGACAAACCAGTGATGCCACGCATCTGTGCGTGGTTGCCACACAGCTCACATTGCTTGCAGATTTGTTGAACAGAGGAGTTTTGACTGCCGTTCTTAGAAGAAGCTAGAAGGTGGGTCCGTATTCTGGAAATCTTGCAAAGCTAATATGTGTGTTGAGAGATTCTCTGATCCTCCTTAGGGTCCTTTTACGGTTCGTGACATGGGCCAGCCAGTTGCTGTGGGTGTCGTCAAAGCAGAGGGCTGCTGGAGTTGGCAAGGTCACCGAGTCGGTCTAGAAAGTTCAGGAGGCTAAAGTAATATTATCCCCAATGCCTGCACCCCCATTTTAATGGATGGTAAAAGAATGATCTCCGAACTGTTTCCCTCAATTGGCCATATAAGTGTAATAGTAAAAAACTGGTTAATGACAACAATGTTTCACTAAAAACCTTCAGAAGGGAAAGAGAATGTTTGGTGAGCTGGGGAGGTTGTTACTGTTGTTGTTTAGTCGCTAAGTTGTATCCAATTCTTTTTGCCATCCCATGGTCTACAGCCTGCAGTCTCCTCTGTCCATGGGATTTTCCAGGCAAGAATACTGGGGTGAGTTGCCATGCCCTCTTCCAGGGGATCTTCCCAATCCAGGGGTTGAACTCATGTCTCCTGCATTGGCAGGCAGATTCTTTACAACTGATCTGGGGAGGGGGGCAATTTTAAATTATTAGCATTTAAAACAAACACTTTTTAATGGAAATGACTTGACCAAAACTTAGGCACAGAATTTTGAGACCCCTGAAAACAAAGTTTGATAAACAAAAATGAAAAAAAAAATGGCCCCAAAGATGAATGGGAAAATGATGGTGTGGTGAATTGCAAAGTGCCCACACAAATTCCTCCCAGCTTGAGTAGTAAGATTTTGCCGTTCCTTCCTCCAGACTGGGAAGGGTTTCTTCACCCATCCAGGAACAATCTGGAATTAGAGGTCTCAGCAGCTGAGTACCACTGTTCTCTTCTCCTCCTTTAGGTCTCCTCTCTGAGTATTGATGTTCGGTAACATTTTAACTACATCAACACTGCAATTTTACTTTGTTGCTATTGAAGTAGTCCTGGATCACTAATTTCACATGTAATCATATTTCCAAAGAGGTCTGTGTGGGGCAAATCAGCCTTGAAAGTGCAGGAAGACCAACGGAATGTCAGGCAGCTCAAGTTGAATGGTGTACACTGGGGCCGGCAGCCAGTTCTGAACGAGTTAGAGAGGAACGCTGTGGCAGTCCGGGGGTGGTGGGACCATTCCATGTAGAAGCCACAACAAATGCAAAGACACTGAGATACCATGGTAATCAGAGGGGTCAGGAAGCAGCCAAAGGGCCAGTGTGGCTGCAAGGGAGGCCGGGCCAGAGCCGTAAAAGCGAGGTTGTTGGAGAGTCATCCAGTTTATGCAGTTCTTGTTGACAAAGTAAGGTCTCTTGAGTATTCAAATTGTCTAGATTTTCAGTTCTTAAACTGGGAACCCAGCTGCCCAGAGCGCCCCCCAAAACTCACAGATTGGACGAGTTTTATAAGTGGAGGGAAATGCATCAATTCCTGACACCCGTTGCAAAGTATGAACTCAAGATAGTTCATAGTTTGAGCATTCGATTGTGCTCCGTTTCTTTCTTCTTTTTCTTTCTCTGTGTTACTTTTCTGTCAAAGATATATATCAGAGTTTCTCAAAGCTGGAATTCCAGTGGTTACTGTAATAAGAAGTAAGAGCCAAGAAGAATCTACATGAAACAGAAAATAAGGGTAAAAGTGTCTAATCTGATTTCAAGGTTAGAAAGAGCAGTATGCCTAACAGGTGCACACATATCCTTAGTAAATAATTGAAGTTATTTAATAATAAAAGAAAAAATATTTTTTTCTTTTAAATGCTGTGCATTTCCCCCCACATAGCTACTTGTTAGAACATAAATACTTGCTAAATTGTTTGGGTCTAACTATTTCATAAATTTGTAACAATTTGGTAATCTGATTTTTTTTTTTGCCTAGGGCCCTGGGAAAAAGTCTCTGAGACCCTAAGGGTGTCATGAATTGAGAAAGTTTGGGAATCTCTGCTCTGTACCCTTAATTGGTACTCACTTTTGTGGATTCAGAATTCCCATCAATGGACTTCAGTGTTTTTTTCTTTTTGGTAGGTTTAAGTTTCCCCAGTCAACACAACTGAGCGATTAGTACTACTTAACTTTAAATGATCATTTAAATTCAATTTTTCTTTCTCCCTTTTTTTTTCCTCTCCCTTTCTTTTTGTATGCCCATGTCCATAGCCATATTGTTCACAATATCAAGAAGCAGATGCAACCCAAGTGTCCATCAAAAGATAAAAAGATAATTAAAGTGTGGTGTACACCTACACTGGAATACTGTCCAGCCTTAAAAAGGAAGGAAATTCTATGCATACTACAATGTGGATGAACCTTGAAGATATCATGCTAAGTCGGACATAAAAGGACAAATGCTGTGTGATCACAATTATATGAGGGACTGAGATAGTCACGATGGTGTGATCACTCACCTAGAGCCAGACATCCTGGAATGTGAAGTCAAGTGGGCCTTAGAAAGCATCACTACAAACAAAGCTAGTGGAGGTGATGGAATTCCAGTTGAGCTGTTTCAAATCCTGAAAGATGATGCTGTGAAAGTGCTGCACTCAGTATGCCAGCAAATCTGGAAAACTCAGCAGTGGCCACAGGACTGGAAAAGGTCAGTTTTCATTCCAATCCCAAAAAAAGGCAATGCCAAAGAATGCTCAAACTACTGCACAATTGCACTCATCTCACACACTAGTAAAGTAATGCTCAAAATTCTCCAGGCCAGGCTTCAGCAATATGTGAACCATGAGTTTCCAGATGTTCAAGCTGGTTTTAGAAAAGGCAGAGGAACCAGAGATCAAATTGCCAACATCCGCTGGATCATTGAAAAAGCAAGAGAGTTCCAGAAAAACTTCTATTTCTGCTTTATTGACTATACCAAAGCCTTTGACTGTGTGGATCACAATAAACTGTCGAAAATTCTGAAGGAGATGGGAATAGCAGACCACCTGACCTGCCTCTTGAGAAACCTGTATGCAGGTCAGGAAGCAACAGTTAGAACTGGACATGGAACAACAGACTGGTTCCAAATAGGAAAAGGAGTACATCAAGGCTGTATATTGTCACCCTGCTTATTTAGCTTATATGCAGAGTACATCATGAGAAGCACTGGGCTGGAAGAAGCACAAGCTGGAATCAAGATTGCCGGGAGAAATATCAGTAACCTATGTGCAGATGACACCACCCTTATGGCAGAAAGTGAAGAGGAACTAAAAAGCCTCTTGATTAAAGTGAAAGAGGAGAGTGAAAAAGTTGACTTAAAGCTCAACATTCAGAAAACTAAGATCATGGCATCTGGTCCCCTCACTTCATGGCAAATAGATGGGGAGACAGTGGAAACAGTGTCAGACTTTATTTTTTGGGCTCCAAAATCACTGCAGATGGTGGTTGCAGCCATAAAATTAAAAGATACTCCTTGGAAGGAAATTTATGACCAACCTAGACAGCATATTAAAAATCAGAGACATTACTTTGTCAACAAAGGTCCAAAAGTCAAGGCTATGGTTTTTCCAGTAGTCATGTATGGATGTGAAGAAAGCTGAGTACTGAAGAATTGATGCTTTTAAACTGTGGTGTTGGAGAAGACTCTTGAGAGTCCCTTGGACTGCAGGGAGATCCAACCAGTCCATCCTGAAGGAGATCAGTCCTGGGTGTTCATTGGAAGGACTGATGCTGAAGCTGAAGCTCTAATACTTTGGCCACCTCATGCAAAGAGCTGGGAGGGGTTGGGAGCAGGAGGAGAAGGGGACGATAGAGGATGAGGTGGTTGGATGCCATCACCGACTTGATGGACATGAGTTTGGGTGGACTCCGGGAGTTGGTGATGAACAGGGAGGCCTGGCGTGCTGCAGTCCATGGGGTTGCAAAGAGTCAGACACGACTGAGTGATTGAACAAAACAGTGAATTCTGTAGCTGGTCCCAGTCAGTATTCCAGAGCTTAGGTATTTGATGGTTTATTTTCAGAGAGGGAAATGGGAGCGGGGTAACTGTTGCAATTTATGGGGTCACAAAGAGTTGGACACGACTGAGTGACTGAACTGAACTGGGAGTAGTTATATCCATAGAGACAGAAGGTAGAATGTTGACTGTCAGGGCCTGGGGAGAGCGGAGAAAGGAGAGGTCTTGTTGGGGAAAGAGTTTTAGCTTTTGAAGATGCAGAATGTTAGGGAGACAGATGGAAGCAATGGTTGCACAATAATGTGAATGTACCAAATGCCATTAAACTGTACACTTAAAATGTTTAAAATGGTAAACTTTAGCTTAGATGTGTTTTACCACAATTAAAAAAAAAAATGATTTATGAATTTCACAGGCCAGGGTTATCATTCCTAAGACGTAAATTAAGATTCTCACCTACAGAGGGCGCCCTTGTCAGTTCCTGGTACTTTCCCTCGTGGGGTTGCAGGAACTGTACCTTCATTTGAAAATGGTGAAGATGTTTGGTAGAAACCAACACAATACTGTAAAGCAATTATCCTTCAATTAGAAATAAGTGAATTTTAAAAAATGGTGAAGATGCTACATTTTATGTTATACATATTTTATCACAGTAAAAGCTAATTTTAAAAAAGCAAGATTACATAGTGTGAGGCCTTTTAGGATTGGAAGAACTGATGTCAGATTTGGCTGAATTTAATCATTCACAATACTCCAAGAACCAAACAGCCCTCCAGAAAAAAATTTCTCATACTATATTCTTCATCTACAAAGAGAAAAATATGAACAACAGAAACAGCATGCAAAAAAAAAGAAATGAAAATATGTATTTAAGAAAACATTGGAAAAAAAGAAAACATTGGGCTTCCCTGCCATTCTGGAGGGAAGCGAGGTCCCAAGAACGCAGGTATGTCACAGAGGGCTGGGCAACAGGGATGCTCCTCGGCAGAGGAGAAGAGTAAGGAGGCTGACAGAGTGGGCCAGAGGTTGGGAGAAAAGAGGGGGATTCAGAAGCCAGGGTCAGGGACAGTTCAAAAAAAGAAAAAAACCAAGATTCTGGTGA